TATCCATCACATTGCTACCTGGAGGGTCTCTATGCCTGGTGCAAGAGTGCTCTGCTTCTCCTTGCAGCCATGCCTGCAAAGTTGCTCTTCCCTAGCACTCCCCTGCAACCCCACCCACTTCCCTGATTGATATCAACAAAAGCTGTGAGCTCTTGGACTTGTGGCCTTTTTTTTCCACAGAGAGCACTGGGTCATCCCAGAGTACCTCAACTGCAGAATATTGTCAGAATATTTTTCATCCATGTGCCATACTGCTGAGTGGGAGACTGATACCCTACGAGGGGGTTTCGGTGTGCACCTCTACCTTCTTCCTACCCCTGGGTTCTGTTTCATTTGGCCCACTCCTGGTGACCTGACCTTCAGCTAGAATAGCCTCTGAGTTCCCAGAGCCCACTTTCTGCTCACAGCCTCTTTATCTCAGTGTCTCTTTGCCCTTCCTCCTTGTGCCTGTACTTTGGCCTCACTGAATCCTCTCTGGTTTGCACCTGTGTCCTCCATGATCTTCTGCCAGATCCTCTTCACCAGTCAGTTCCGAAACACCAATTATTTCTGCATCATTCTGGTGGTTAGATGCTTTCTGTATCAGTGCTGGCTGGGCTCTTTTATTTCTCTGGATTTTTCCTTCTTTCTGTAATATATACCCTAAAAGTCTACCATGTAATCTGCTTCCTGTACTCCCCTCAACTTCTTTGCTTCCATTTCTTCCTCCCCAAATGCTAAGTAAAATAACAAAGACTCATTTTCCATTCCCATGTTTGGTGCTGGTGACCAAAATTATCTCATATCTATTTAAGGCACCAGTAAAAGGAGGACATAAATATGAGAAAAATATTATTTTTTGGAAATAATTTGATATTCTACATAAAGTCAGCATAGAAAACCTCAGCTTTTTGTTGGACTAGAGTGCATGTCACTCATATTTTAATTGAATTTATTCTCACTGCATGAGTGGTAGTGTCCTCTAACACTGGGGAGTTTACTACAAATCAGGCATGTTGCATTCCACTCTTAACATTCGCAAAGCTGAGTATCTGTGAGTTCTCAGTGTGACTGCCACTGAGCTCTGAAAAACAATTCTATGCTTTTCTGGGTCACTTATTTCCCTTGCCCATAGCAGTTATTTCAAACCTTCACTTCCATCCTTTAAACCGCAGGCTTTCCCCTGGACTTCGATGCTCCAGATCTGGTCTTCTGTTTTTATTGTGCACCTTCCATCCTACATACCTATGTGCCTCTGGAACCATCACCTTTTCTGCTTCCCCTCAGCCTCAGCAGAAGAGCTGCTTCTAGTATGAAGCTCATCCTGTGCCTTGGAGCTCAGATTTCACTGATGGCTTGAGGACCTTTCTCATTCCCCTCAACCTTCCCCCTCTCTCTAATAGTGGTTAAATATTAACATCCATCTAGATACCTCTCTACCTATTTTACTTTGGAATATGTAAATAATGCACATAGGACCAAATCCAAAAGGGCTGAGAGATGAAGTAGCGAAACCTTCCTTCCCTAGCTACTCAGCCTCTCCTCCCAGAGGTCATCATGGTCATCAGGACACTCCCTGCTCTCATATCCAGCTGAGATCACTGTCTTAGGCTCCAGAGGTATGTCCATTACTTCAACACATACTTCCACTTGAAGGACCCCTGAACATCAGCTCCTTCACTTCCATTTCTTACCTTAAACCACCCCTTCCCATCATTTTTACAGCTTAGCACACGGAGAAAATAACATGGACCGTATAGGCAACCAGCTTGGAGACTCCAGCTACTCTCAACTCTGCACCCCCAGAGCTGAGAAGATCACAAGCTCCATACACCCAACCCTTTTATGGCCCACTGTTGCCAAAGTTCCGCCTCAGGGGATGACCCACCTTATGTTCTGATGTCACAAACACTGGGCAAATTCATGACTCCCTTGAGCTCTCTTGTTTTCTATCCCAGACTGGTCAAGTTCTCCAATGGTATCTCTTTGAAATCCAGCTCATTTACCATATTCCCAAGGGCACAGCTTGGTCAGGGTCTCATTTACTTGCAGCAGAACTGGACTTCCTGCTTCTTGTCTCTCTTCAACTCATTCTACGCATTATAAACAGAGTTCTGAGCTTCGAATTTGCTCCTATTCCTCTCCTGCCTAGAACCCCTCCTCGAAGGTTTAAGAAGGCTCTCGCTGCATCATGTCAAAGTCCTAATGAAGATGTCTCCCATTTCATCCAGCACATTTGACATTTGCTGTCCAGATCTTTTTGAGCTCCAGGAAGTATGCAGTTGGTCTGACATTTTAGATATCACTTGGGCATCCAGAATCAGAACGTAAGAACTAAACTCATTCTTCCTGTAGTCTGATACCAGCCTCCTCCTGTTCCACCCTACACACACACACACACACACACACACACACACACACTTTCTCTCTTTTTTACATAATGATAATGTCCTTTCACCATTTATCTAGCCCCTCAGTAAATGTACCCACTTACTCAGCCATAAGATGCCTCAGTCCTTGGGACTCCCTAGCACCAACTCATCATCAAATCTTGATGATTATGTCTCCTGAATAGCTCTCTGATTTTGATAGCCTCTAGTCCTGGCTGTAAGCATCCCTTGCTATATGTTTTTCAAACAAATCACACACCGATCAAATTTAGGGGCTGCTCCTACCTTTCTGACTTCCTTTTTCACACACTTCTCTATCAGCTGCTCTGGAGCGTGTCATCCCCAATCCGGAGATCTACAGTTCTCACACCTGGTCCTCGGGCCTCTACCTCAGCCCCATCTCTTTAGGCTTCAGACACACGAGGCTTTCCAAACAAGCTGATCTGCGCTTTTCTGCCTCAAGTTCTTCCTTTCTGTCCCTAGGCCTAAGGCCTCCCAACACAGCGCCCTTATTTCTCATTCCTAAGATGCACCTCGATGAGGTCCTCTTCATCATGTGTGGTTCTGTGATGAACTGCAATCTCCAAGAGAGCAAAGTGGGGTCTATCTTATTCACCCCTGCCTTTCCAGCTAATGCATTTCCACTATTAATTATTAGGGGAAAGAAGGAAAGTTGGGCTCAAAAAGATATATGATTAATGTTCTTTACATAAGTGGGTTTATTTCTCTACATCTATTTCCATATTGATACTGGGGTTTTCTTTAGGTCAAAAGAAGGAAAGAAACAAAAATGACAGCATTTCTCTCTGCATTTAAGTTAGAGAAAATGATCATGAGAAAATAAGCTTAATGAAATCTACTGGCATCTAAATAAAGTTATTGAAAAGTAAATATGATGTGGACTAAACTGTGTTCTCAAAAAGACCTAGTGCAGTCTTAAGCCCCGGCACCTGTGAACGTGGACTTCTCTGGAAACTGGCTCTCAGCAGATATTTTAAGGCTCAATTTAAGACAGGGTCATATGAGGTTGGAGAGGAGGGGCCTAAATGAACACTTGGTATCCTTCTATAGAGAGAGAGAGAGATCTGGAGACACAGATGCTGCAGGAAGGTAGATGTGAAAGAAGCAGAGATTGGAGTAACACAGTTCTAAGCCAAGAAGGTTGAAAGAGGGAATGTTGGATTCCTCTCTGGTGCCTTCAAAGGGAATGTGGTCCTGCTGACACCAAAATCTAAGTCCTTCATTCTCCTGAGTGGAAAGGAAGAAATTTTGCTGCTTTAAGTAACCCAGTTTTGTGGTAATCTGCTGCAGTAGCTGTAGAAAACTGATACATATGATAGATGCAGACTTTATCAGGCCATGGTGTTTTTATGATGTGATTTCCTTAGCATTTCTATATTTCATTTCAAAAGATACACTGAGCTTGGCAGTTTATTTTGTTAATAATTTAGTTTAAAAATGATAAAGTATGGATTAATGTTATCTACATTATTAGTGGTTAAGTTATAGCAAGTATTTAACTCTTGCTGTCCAATGAAACATCACATCTAGGAAATTGTTACCTGATTTGTATGGCTGAAAAGTCATCAGTTCTCCAAGTGCAACAAGTTTTTCCTGTCGAAAAATTTTATAATCAGTTAAATGACACAATACTAACTTAATCATTCTTTAATAGGAAAATACTTTAATTCCAGATTTTAAATACACAACAAATATTTTTAGCATACCAGAAATTATACAGCCAAATGAAAAGTGTTCTGCTGATTTCTTAAAACTTTCATTGCCTCTTTATTTTTAGGAATAAGATACAAAGAGAACCCAGAGAAGACCAATGTATGCCGTGGTCAAGGGGAATCAGTTTCTGATCATTAACAAAGTCAGTTCCCTTGTGTGTACTCTTGAGATTACCTGAATTAGATCACTCGTCATTTCTGTCATTCTTTCTTCACTTATTTCAGTATCTTCGAGATCTGTTAGAACCGCCCACGTTCCATTCTCAAATTTCACAGGCATAGAAAAGACAATCCCTTCAGGAATACCAAACTGGCCTGCAGAAAGCAAACAAAAGGCAGAGTAAAACAAAAGAACTCAGAAAATAAATACTTCCTATGAAGGGTCATAGGAAAGAATACACATGATACCCGGTTTTCAATGGTAATAATGGAACTGAATTTTTGGGAATTCTTCTCCACAAAGGATGGAGCACTCATTCTATGAGCATTGGCTGAGCACTTATCCAAGTACTGACAGTTTTCCCTTTTTTATTTCTCTCATATCTGGAAGTTCAGGCTGCCTTTCCTTGCCACATCTTGATTGCATCTCTTGTGTCTGCTTCCCACAGTTTTTCCATGGATCCCTGTGTTGTCCCTGATCCTGTCATCTGTCAGCCTGGCCTTCCATTTTTCTGAACAGTTATGGCAATCACATTGTGAGGGTTGGAAGGACTGGAAAGGGGAAGCATCAGCTTGGAGAGCTGCTTATTTCCTTACAGTTTCCAGGTCCCCATTTGTAATGTGCTCTAAATACAACAGACTGATACTATTTATTACTAACTGAAGATCATTCAGGTAAAATTACTCTCCTTTTTGATGCCTCCATCAAGTAAGAGAATTATTCTTGCTATTCTGGGCACTAAAAATGTTGGTAGGGGAAAAAAAAACCTGAGGAGGGTCAAGAAGTCTGGATCTAAGAAACTTCTCTATGGGGGCTTCTCAGGTCCTTTATTAATTCTCTTATTTGCTTTATCTGTGAAGAGCTCATGTTACAGACAGACAGTGTATAAGGGCTTACCAAAAACAGATAATGATCTTCCATTTCCCTCTCTGCATATCATATTCTTTATTTTTGAATGTAATTCCTACACAGGTTTAACTTTCTTTCTACAAGTCAAGGTAGGGTTTTGCCTATTTTCTTATAGGAAAAATGCCTATTTTCCTATAAAGGTAACACACTGATCTTAGCTCACACTGTACAAATTCTACACACCTTAACTTCAACTGAACAAGAGTCACTGAGTGTCTACTATAGGAAATGCTCCTTTTATGAAGGAGTAGAAAGAGGACACAGAGTCCTTGTCCTCAGAGTACAGACAGGAAGCAGACATGTGCAACTAAAAAGGCAGACTGTAATATGCTCTCTGCTAGAGGAACAAAACGCTGTGCAAGTAGGACAGGAGAGGCAGAGGTCAATTATTACACAAGGGATTGGCAGCATGTCCTTGAGTCGCACCAAAGACACTGTGACAAGGAAGAAGACGGTTGTTCTACTGAGTCCCAAGGAATGAAGACATGGATCCGACTGGGGAGGAAGACAGTAGGTTCAGGTTGACCTATGTCAGGGGTGAGCGACAGCATGACTTCCTGGTGGTCAAGTTTCACAGGCCAGAGCTCAGAGGAGAGGTCCAGGCCCAAAGCTCCCGCAGGAAAGAAGCTTGCTGAGGGAGACAGCAAAACACAAAGGAAAGACAAGCTTGAGATCAGATCTGCGGAGGACAGAACATCATTCTTTTTCCTGTTTTATAAAAATGGTAAAGAGTTCTGAATAGCTTTGAGCAGAAAACATGAAGACTCTAAAAGTGCCAGTGTAGCATTTGTTGGTGGAAAGCAACCTTTCCACGTCCCAGAACTCCCTGGTCCGCCCACGTTCTGGTCCTCTGTGCCCCTCCGCCTCTTGCCCTGGGTCTTCCCTCCCGGGGCTCCCTGCGCCTGCTGTTCCTCCCTGCTGTCTTCCAGGTCAGCGCTGCTCAGGTTCTATGGCTTCCTGCTGTGTCACCACCACGAAACCTGTTCTACCTCCTCTGGCCCCTGGACCTTGCTTTCCCTTTCTCAGCTGGGTACAGGAAGAAAAACTTCCTGGCACAATTTTCTTTATGTGTCTGGCTCTCCTTTACTTTGTATTTGGTTTTCTGAAGGCAGAAACTGGTTCTAATTTGTGTGTGTGTTCCTAGTGCATTCAGACAAATATTACATTTTTGAAACAATAATTGAATTCATAAATGAGTTAATACATGTATTAATAAATGAGTTAATACATGTTAATATGTATAAGTCCAGCTTACAGGCCATGTTAAGACCTAGACAGGAGGTTTTAAAATATTATAAGAAGTGACAAACCCAGATTTACCTTCGCTCGATATTCCTAGAGACACAATCTCCCCGGGCGGTGAGCCATGGTACCAGTACTTCAGCGTCGTGCTTATGCTGTGAGCAGCCAATATGCTGCCAAAGTGCTTTCCTGTGGCCGTTAAAGTTTTAAGAGTTGTCACAAATTCAGTTTTCAGCCACTCACTGCAAGGAGAGAAAGAAACAATCTCACAATAGAGAGAGAAAGGGACATTTTAGAAGCTGTTCCGCAGCTCCAATGCACTAAGCACAGGGAATCACACCCACACTCAAGACAGAAATATGACTGTGTGATGCTTCCAGTGTCTCCAGTCCCCACTACCAAGTCCATGGAAAAGTAACAAAAGGGAGCAGGAAAATAAAAAAATTTTTTAAAAAATTTTAAAAAAAGGGAGCAGGAAGGAATCTCCAAATTTCAGGCTAAAAAGAGAATAATATGAATATGGGGCACAGAAAAGTGGCCAAAGACTGCAGGAACCATCACTTTCATTCCGAAGAATTCATTTTATATAGATGCTATCTTGAAAGCAGTCAAGTGGTATCCTTTGCTTAAAAATCAAAGAATTTCACAAAGCAACTGTGTTTTCATGGTCTGGTGTCTAAACGCAGGGAACAGCTGGACCAGACCATGTTCTAAAGGGCTGCCCCACGGATGGATCAGCACAGGACACGGTTCTGTGTGACACAGGCCCTGTGCAGGCAGCAGACATGGGGAAGTGGGGCCCCAGGACGGAGCCCCGGGCACGTCACTCCTGGACACAGCTGTTTTGTGGTCTGGGGATGGAAAGTGTGAGCTATGGAGTGGAACTGCTACAACTGGGAGAGTGCTACAGATTTAGACAAGGGCTTCAGAGGCGTTCCTGCTCTCATTATAAGGCGAGTATTCACCATGCTTTGTGGATGAATCCCTTTCATCTTTGCAGTGACCCTACACAGGCCATGCTGTGCTGCCATTTCCATTGCAGATGGAGAGACTAAGGCATGAGAGGTTAAGTAACTTCTCTAGAGCTACACAGCAAATAAGTAGCACAGTGAGAATTCTGAGCCAGGTAGGTTATCTGCTCATCTCAATTCTGCCTCTCCTGGGACACAGCTCCCAGCCTAGCCTGGTCTGCTCATCATCTTACTTCCTCTTTCTCAAAATATTTTAACTTGGCTCTATTTCTCCGTCTTTACACTAGGTAAGCCTTCCTTTACACATTACACTTGTTTGAGAGCTAATGTTAATGGAACGTGCAGACTGCTTCAGCAATAATTTAAAATACAAAAACTCACAATTTCAAAATCAAATTTGGGTTGGTATTGACCTGTGTATATTTTGTGAAACTGTTTAAGTTTCTTTAACAGAAAACATGAAGAAATATGAGTAGACAAGGCAAGTTATTTTTGTACAAAGATATGTAACATGATTCCATACATAGTAACAATTACTAAACACTTATATAACATTGTAAATACACTTAAAAATACACAGTACCTATCAAAAATCAAGTCTAACAGAGGGCGGGAATACGGAGAAGGCCCCCAAATGGCACTCTCTTGGTTGTAAACTCTCGTTTTTCTCAGATCAACGTGGTGATTTCCAGTGATGTTACCCCAAATAATCACATTCTTGATGCCTAAGAACAGAAAAAAGAATGGCTATAATGAAGTACCTTAACATAAAAGTTACCTGAAGCCTATTTTTTGTTTACGTTTATTTTGGTCCATTTGCTCTAAAATGAATCAAAGTCTATGGTCCCTAAAGCTGTATAAAAGGTGTAGATCAACTCCTTAATCATCAGGGTTTGGCAGTGCCTAATAATGCCTTCTTAATGATATGGGTATACGAGTGAATCCAAGGAATACTGAAATGTTTCCTGAAAGAAACTGCTACTAAAAATTGTACTGCTGGGGTTGGTCCTAACCTCATTACAAAGGAAGAGGGAGAGGGAGAGGGAGAGGGAGAGGGAGGAGGACAGAGGAGGGGGAGAGAGACAGACAGACACACGGAGGCAAAGAGGAAGGGACGGAGACAGGCAGGAAGGGAGAGAGGGTGCACTTCCAATCTCCTTTGCTTGGGACAATGTGTCTTTGATTCTACACTGAAATCAAAATCTGGAAGGGTGACTTCACTCTTGCGTTTCATCTCCTGTGAAATGCAGGCGCTGTAATAACAGGACCCTGGGCAGCATTTTCAGCCCGTACATAGTTGTAGATAATGTTCTTGTATGAGGCCCTTCTTTCTGGGTACTAGGTTTAGAAGAAGACACACCACACCCGAACTCAGAAGACACACCATTCTGTGGGGAAAGGGGCTGGCGAGGAAACAGTCGTTCTATAGTGATGCAGTAGTTATCCACGAAGAGGAAGAGGAGGACATCTGTCAAAGGGAAAGAGGAACTGCTATTTCATAGGACTCTACAGCTGTGGGTTTTCCAGGGCTACTGTATACAACACACAATTAAGTAATTTTACTTATTTGTGTGCCTTGGTTTGCAAACTCAAATCTTTCCATGCCTCTGGTGGCAAAGAGAATCGGACAAGAACCGAATCAAATCCAATGGTTTGGTTCAATGCGGACCTTATGGGGAAATTTGATTCGGTTCTCATTCAATTTGGCTTATGACCAGAACTGTGGAAAAGATTACATTCGTGAACCAAGGACACATTGTATTTAGTTACTTGTTAACTTATTTATTTGCTTAAACATTTAGTTCTATATTACAGAGAATTTTTTCTTGTTTTCTCATAGATAGGAAGATTATTTTCAGTTTGAAGTAGCAAAGCTTGGCTACTAACTTGGCTTAAGTGGAAGTTTACTTTTTTTTTTTTTTTTTTTTTTGGTTTTTCTCCGGTACCGGGAACCGAACTCACGACCTTGCGCTTGCCAGGCAGGCGCTTTGCCGCTGAGCTAAATCCCCGGCCCCAGAAGTTTACTTTTCTTAGATAACAAGTCAGAGGAGGCAGTGACACATGATGGTTCAACAGCTTAAAGGTGTGATTCTCTTGGCCTTCCCTCATGGTCCTAAAATGGCTGCAGCAGCTCCAGGTATCACATCTCACAGTCATGAAATTACATTGTTACTTCATTCCTAGGTGCAAGAGCAGCTAGGAAAAGGTGTAGGATTGTTTGAATTTCTATAGCAAGGGCTCGGTTGGAGGAGAGGACGAAGAGAACAGATCTCGGGTAGACAACTGCTCTCTCTACCACCCAGCTCTCAGGAGAGTTAGCAATGTGCATTTGGGCCCCTCTGTTAGCTGTACATTATAGGAAGAAAAGGAAAAGCGTCATCAGGATTTGAAATTGATGGGATCCATGTGGGCAGAACAATTCTCCAGCATAGGGTAGATTTCTTTTCTACAGTCTAAAGAAGCTTCCCCTCACTGGGTCTCATTTTTCTTACTGGTTTTAAGGCCCTTAGTAGTTGTAAATACCTAAATGATGCATTATGCTTCAGAAAATTAGTTAACATCTGCTCGTGGTTTTCCTCCTGTATTCTTTCCTCCTTTTTTTCTTTAAATAACTGATCTTATTTCAAATAACTGCCCTTTCTCCCCCTTTGGTCCTTAGGGGCTCGGTGGGCTATTGTTCCCTGTTGGGTCTGGCACTAGGATAAGGGCCCGGCACACACCTCCTGACCATGGGATCCACTCAGACTCCGGCACATGGTCCAACCCCAGCCAAGGTGTCTGTGTCCTTCGGCCCAAACAAGCGGGAGACACAGTGCCCTTCCCATGGGTGTGTGAGCTCTGTGGATACTGGCAGGGATGCCAGCGGCCACTGCCATCGCTAGAGTCCAGCCAAGACTAGAACCGAGACTAAGGGAAAGGTCAAAGGAAGGAATACACAAATCTGCTATCGTCCGAGGCCCAGCATTTAGCTGTGCCTGAAATACAGACGACTTCCAGTCCTTCCTGTTACTGGAGAAAAGTTCTCTGCCTGACTCCAGTCACATGGAGTTCTCTTTCTATCACTTGTGACATATGGAGCCCCACCTGAGCCATTACATGTGGTCTGAGGAACAAGGTTCCATGTGAAGTGAACTTAGGGCATGTGCTGAAGCCTGCTTTCGTTTGTCTGTGTGACCAGGTCTCATTGCATAGCTCAGGCTGGCCTCAGACTCTCAGACATTCCCCTCCCTTAGCCTCCCCAGTGCTGGGATTACAGGTCCACACCACCAGGCCTGGCTTGAACCTTGCTTTTCTGAAAGGGTTTGCTACCCTCTTGGCATCTGGAATGATTCCTGAATAATTTCTTTGGTGGTTTTTCTCTTTTATGCCATTTTCCTAACTCTGATTTGCTGTTGATGGATTTCTTGTGCATGTTCTACTGATAAGTCTACTTTGGCTACTGTCTCTAATATCTCTTCCTTCTTTTCCAAACTTTCCTCCGGGTTTTGATTTTTCTGACTCTCACATGCCTATGTGTTTTGAGCACAGCAGAGCTTAGAATTATGGTATCAGCAGACCCACAAGGCAGCCACTTAGTGGTTAAAAGCCTTTGGTTATCACGCCCAGTACACACACACACACACACACACACACACACACACACTTTTGTTTTAAATTTGTATCAATTCTTGATACTTTTAATAATAGACGTACTATATACCTTGGTGATAAGTTAGTTTCTCCATATATAAATATAATGCTGATCACAAAGATAAAATGGTTAGAAAAGGATTCACATTCATTTAGCCAAGTATTATCCTGACCCTAAGGTTAAGACACTAAAGATATATAAACAAGAATACCGGGATTGTGCTTTGTAGCGCTGCCATATAAAGCAATGGGTAATACAGCACTGAGTTTAGTGTTAGGGGCTCACTGATGTTCTTCCTGACTTAGAGCCTTCTGGGTTTGCAGTTCATTCACGCTGATGCACCTGCTCCACCCAAGGGCACACAGAACTAACAGATGTCAAACGTGATTTCTCCTTTTAAATACAGCAACCCATTTTGTGACACAGTCCCATGGTTCATGACTTTCATGTCTACCCATTCAAATATTAGCAGGGCAGACTCTGAGCAGATAGCATAAACCAGTTGATAAAGCTGACATTCTTGCAGTTTTACCATGTGCCAGCTACTCTATGAAGCTCCTTAGAACTACATCCCGCTTAATCCTCAAATCAATTCTAGGATGAAGGAGCTGTTAACATCCTCATTTTACAGATGAGAAAACTGAGGTGCAGCAAGTTTGACTGCTCAAGATCTCACAGTGGAAAGTGGGACAAAACCACTTTCAAAGAGCCCTAGCCAAGTGTGGTGGCAATGCCTGTAATCCCAGCATTCGGGAGGCTGAAGCAGGAGGATTGCTGTGAGTTCGAGGCCAGCCTGGGCTACATAGTGAGTTCAAGCCTAGCCTGGCTTGAAACCCTGTCTCAAAAAGACAAAAAAAAAAAAAGCCCTATTTTTTTTAAACACTAAAGTACCTTCTTTAACTATTATTGTGGAAAAATGGAGTATTAAACTTCAAATAACTACTTGACTAATATGGATCTTATCATAGTAAACATTATTAATTTCTATAAGGCTAGATATGCTTTTTTTTTTTTTTGTCTTTTTGAGATAGGGTATTGCTCTGTAGCTCAGGCTGGCCTTGAGCTCACTTTGTAGCACAGGCTGGTCTCAAACTCACAATGATCCTCCTGCTTCAGCCTCCCGAGTGCTGGGATTACAGGTGTGCGCCACCACACCTAGCTCTAGACATCCTGTTTCATAAGTACGTAAAAGTCTGTGGAAAAAATCAGCAAATCCAATAGTCCCTTGTGTGCAAGCTTGCACTTTCCATGGCTTCAGTTAACCTTAGTTTGAAAATATTAGTGGGAAATTCCAGAAATAAATAATTCATAAGTTTTAGATGTTTTACTACAGTATATTGCCATAATTTTTCTAGTTTATTCTTAGTGTTGTTAATCTCTTGCTATTCCTAATTTATAAATTAGATTATGGACATACCACCCTGAACATGCTCAATCTTGTCTGACTTGGGAACCTAGTTGATAAATCCACCTTCATCCTGGTATGCACATGGAGGGAAAAAGAGTATAGGTAGGGTCTGATACGCTCTGTGGTTTCATCAGTGGGGCTTTCGGTCAGACTCCTGAACAGTGGAGGAATACTGTAGTTAAATCAAACAATAAGTTCTCTGTGTCTGCTCCCAGCGTCTGTGTGGTATCATCAAAAAATACGAAGAGTGTACAATTTTTAAAAAATGTATTGAAACACATTGTCATCAGTCCCTCTCAGAACAGCTCCCTTTACTTTGAACACATCCTGTCCTTCTGGCCACTTTCTGAAGCAGTTCTGGAAGTCTTCCTCGGGGACTCTCCTTAGTTGTGCTGTTGTGGCTGCCTGATGTCCTGAACTTATGCAAAACATTTACCTTCTGTGGTGGATTGACAACTGGTGGTCAACTTGTAACCCCCAGCTGAACTGAGTAAGCGTGGTGCTGGGTGTGGGAGCCCACCTGAGGATTGTTGCCAGCAGCATAAGAGGCAGAACTGGAGAAAAAGAAGAGAGGCTGTTGGGAGCTGAGAGAAGTTGTCAGGAGCTGTTCGTTCTCTGGGAGGAGCTTGTCATGCTGGCTTTCCTGATTAACTTGGCTGTTTTCATCCTCTGAGGAGCTTGGGATCTTGTTGCTGAGGATGGCTTCAGTTCCCCTTGGGGGAGCTCTGGTCCTCACTCTGAGCATCGCTTCCTGGCTCCAGAGGGAAGATCGTGTACTGCTCAGTCTCCTGGAGAAGCTCGTCATGTTGGCTTTCATGATGGGAACTCAGCTGTTCTGATCATCGGAGGAGCTCAGTACCTCACTGTTGCTGAGAGTGGCTTTTTTTTTGTGGTACTTTTTTTTTGTGGTACTTTTCAGAGAAGCTGTGGTTCTTATTTTGAGCATCGCTTCCTGGCTCCAGTGGAGATCCCTCAGCCTGCTAGCACAGATCCTTCATCTTGCTGGCACAGACTTTCTGGGTTCCACCACTGACCTCTGGGCCTTCCCAGCGCAGATCCATGAAACAGGCCTGCATGAGACGTTGTCATGGGCTGTAAGCCTCTAGCTGGATGCGTGGGAGGCACTGTTATGGGCTCTAGGTCTTCAGCTGGACTCATGCAGGACATTATCACAGGATCCAGGCCCTCAGCTGGATTCTTTGGTGATTAGTGTGTGGACAGGTTTCCTGCACTTTCTTGTATATGATTCTTTGGGTGACTATTGTAAAGAATCTTAAAATATATGTCTTGTATTATATTTTTCTCCTTGTAAAATATCCCCCAAACCACGACACCTTCCCCGGTCAGCTGAGTTTGGGCAACAGCCAGCAGTCACATGGCGCAGGTCCCGTGAGTAAGGCATATAAGGGTACCGCAATGTTTTTACGAGCCTGGTTGTGCATTCGATGGCATGGGCACCAGCACTCGCCATATCTATGATGATATCTGGTAAAAACACTCACGAAGGAGGACTTCTAGAAGTGCTTCAGAAAGCGGCAAGAACGATGGCACAAATGTGTTCAAAGGAGTATTCTGCTGGCAACTGGCGGCAGTATGTCTTTTACTGTGCTAGATTCTTAAAATTTAAACATTCACCCTAGTTTTCGATCACCCCTTGTCATCCAGATATCCAGAATGAGCTTAGAAGATGCAGCTTCTAGTCTCCTTTCAGAACCCAAACCCACACCCAAACCCACACCCAAACCCCGGCAGGGGTTTTTCCACTCACAGGAGGGAGCAGTTTTTAATTTTCGGGCTAAGACAGCCTTCGCTTCTCCTTCCACCCCTAGGGCCACAGCGATGATATTGTGCGCGATGCTGGGGGCGAATCTCTTCAGCAGAACTGTCCTCAGGTTCACGAAAGTCTTTCCCCCCACGATCACTCGCACCGAGTGGTCCGCGTTCTTCTCCAACAGCTGCCCATAGAGCTGGCACAGAGGCACCCTCCGCCGCAGGCAGTCTTCCAGGCTGTGCACCTCCTGCACGGTGCTGTCGTCCAGGACGATGACCACGCGCGCCTGCAGGAAGGCCCCCTCCTCGCGGGTGCAGACCGCGACGCTGCGCAGCAGAGGCGAGGCCAGGTCCTGCGTCTCCATCGCCAGGCTTCGGAGATGCTCTTCAGCCTGCTGCTGGTCGAACAGGGTCAGGCTCATCTCTGTGTGTTCTCCGAACACGTCTCCGCTTACCAAGATGGGGATCAGGTTGCAGCCCGCAGGAGTGGATGCGCTGGGAAAAAAAATGCAAAGGTGGATCTCAAAAGTTTAGATCCTTTGTCCTGGCTAAGCCTTTATTCTTAATAGATATTTCTGAAGTGCATTAATAACTAAGGCTGATAGAATATTTTAAATAGGTATTCACATAGCTGCATAGACATTTTGAAGGGTAGGGAATCAGAACTAGAACAAAAAATTTTGTCACAATTACACAGTTGTTCTGAGCATCAGAAAACAATCTAAGAAATGGATTATTTTAAAAGTTATGCTTTAGACTTTTTCAAATGAAACAGAATCCTTCCTATGCAGTAAGCAAAATGTCGAAGAACTGAGTCCTATTATTCTAATTACATGCTTATAGTTTCTCTTGAAAAGATAAAGATGTAAGTTTCAGGTGGCCATAGCTCTCTTATTTCATACACTTAACTACAAAGTAATACTTTTTTGGGAAAGGACTGACTATCTTTTCCAAAGTCTCTCAAAGAAAATTCGTTAAAGATGGCCAGAGTGAGGCTGGGGATTTCGCTCAGTGGCACAGCACCTGCCTGGCAAGCTCAAGGTCATGAGTTCGATTCCCAGTACCTGGGAAAAAAAAAACAAAAAACAAAAAAAAGATGGCCAGAGTCAGCATCGGTGTGCAAGGTGCATCGGGAATCACATTCAGCAAGCAGCAAACAGTGACTGCAGTTTCTATGACCATCCACTGAGGGAGCTGGGAAATTCATCTGAGGATTCGTCGTGGGGGTTTGGGGAGGGCTACAGTGGGGATTTCAACAGAACCTATACTACAGTAATCCTTCCATGATGTGCTGTTTGTTCAATATAGGTGATAGGGTCATAGATATTTATTGTAGAAGTCTCAGTTCTTTTCTAGATCTATAATTTTTAATAGTAAAAATTCTTTTATAAATAAGTCTATTACGTTACACATATGTAGTTGGAAAGGACAGTGTGAGAGACAGACTGAGCGTGGGGAAAGTGAAGCAGGTGAGAGTGAGAAGAAGAAACACAAGAGAGAGGTTGAGAGCGGAGACAGGGAAGAGACGGAAAAACACGCACGTGTGTGCCCCAGACTGAGGAGAACCCGGAGGACAGAAGGAGGGAGGGGAGGGAGGGGAGGAAGAAGGGGGCAAGTGCATAAGCCCCAGGAAGAAACAAGTGAGAAAAAGGAAGGAGCCATAGTCGGGAGGGCTAGGGCCAGAGACAGAGTCTGGCAAAGCAGCCACACTCTAAAGTTACTTTCTGATTAAGAGCACATGCGCTCATGCGCGTGTGGAAAACTTAGAACTCATGCATGGGGTTATACGGAGGACATATATATGACCACATATCTGTACATGTACGTACACACACACACATACTCACACTCAAATGTCAAATTCGACATTTAGGTATTCTTTCACCATGGAATAAATCCCATCACGTTGTCCTTTCTAAAATAAAAACACAATCTCATAAGTCCTGGGGTCTCACTGTCCTACCTGGTGATCCAGACTTGTAAGGGGCTGACAAGATCTTTTACGGATTCTTTCCTCAGCTGTTTTTCTCTGTGTGCCTCCAGGTTCTCTTGAGCAATGATCATCATCATCTCGGTAGTCATGCTGGAGGTGACACCATAGTAAAGCTAAGGAGTAGGGAATAAAAAGTCACCTCAGAGGACTTGATTGTTATGGAAAGATTTTAAGTCAAAATAAAGATGAGAGAGAGGTGAGAGGATGCCTCAGAAAGCAAGCCATTTGAAGTATGAAATAATGTAAGAGAAGAATTTCTGAGCAGATAAATCAACTTAATCCAGGTACCTGGGCATGCTCCAGGAACTCATTATATCCTCCCAAGAGGAAGCCCTTTCCTCCACGGTCCAGCAGCTCTCTCCAGATGATGGGGGATTTTTTGTGACTCCACTTATTCTTTTCACACACATCTTTCAGCCACTCCTATTGAATGATACTCCAAGAAAAATCAGACATTTAATCTGCTTGAGAATTCAGTTTAATATCTTAGAACTCAAACTCCAAATACCAGCTCACTTTTAATGTCACTATGTATACAAAATACCATCTAGATATTGTTAAGCAAGAAAATGTAAATGTAGAAAATAGTGATGATTGAGCTAGTGACTTAAAAGTATGAAAGAATATTCTTCAAATTCACTGGCAACAAAGGTACTAAAAGTTGTTTTTTTCTTTTTAGGACATCTGGAGTGCACCTGTCCAACTTAAAGAAAGGCCAGGTGTTGTTCCAATTTGACTAATTAAAAAAGTGACTGACTTTTCCCCCTTATTTTTCTTGTATGTGAGATATTTCTAGATTTATGGCCACATAAATTTTGGTATTGCTTTTCAAACAGGTATTCTGTGTTCTCTGAAAGGGTTGGTATTGCTTTTCAAACAGGATTTATGCAGGTCAGACTGAAATAATGAGCTAAAAGTTATCTGGAGATTTCTGATAATCTTTATGAGAAAGGTTTAAATGATTATGATATGGTTTGCATAGAGTAAGTACAGCGGACAGTCTTAAAACCATGAGGCTACCTTACAAATAAAATCTTGGCAGCTAATTCTTCTTGCTGCTCTCAAAGATCTCCCTTCCTTTTTCACATCTGAAAATAAACAGTCTGACTGTGAGGATTCCGTCATGGTCCTTCCACTCCCAGCATAGCTTGCCCACTGGGTGCTGGGCCTAAGGAGGAAAAGGACGCTACTGGGAAGGACTTTGGCACGGAGCAGCACAGGTGGATGTCCCTGCAGGAGCTGGCACAGTGTACACTGGACTCACCCCTCAGAGTGCCAAATCCAAAGTGGAATGTAAAGCTGGATCAGAGAGACTTTGCTAACAGAAAGCACTCTAGTGCAACTCAGGAGAGAGACCCCGGCAGGGACTCGAAAGACAGTGATAAAATTTTGCTAGGCTGGCTCTCAGAAGCCTGGGGAACACCATGGCCCAAGTCAAACAGAAATGTCAAAATTGCCATGCAGGACAGTGGGAGATGGGATGGAAAGCTAGTGAATCCAGTACTATAGAGGCCAGAAAACCCACCAGTCAGCCATGTTCTCCGAAAGGGTTGGGTGACAATACATTCACCAAAGGCATATGGAATGCATGGGGCAAGACGGGTCCCAGTGTCACTGAGAACCCCAGAGTGATCTTCTAGAGGAGGCCAGGGCTATTATAGGATGTAGTGTTATGGAGCTGTGCTCCCTGGAAATTGGGATGGTGAATTTTTGAAATAACAGAGCCCAGGGGCAGTCCCCACCACAGAACATCTGCGGTGAAAGAAGTACTAAACAGCCAGGGCTGAGATGACTTACACAGCTGCAGCCACAGAGGGCTCACCACCAGACTGAGCCATGCAGCAGCTCCAGGGAATGGACTACTACTCACCAAAGCCTACCTAGTGATTGCTACTGCTTAACAGTTATTGTACCTGCACCAGTGCTGCCCCAGTAACGGCAGTACTCTTTGAAAGCACTGGCCGGCCTCTTCCAGGCAGGTTGGCCACACTGGATTCCTACCACTCTATAAAGGTCAATGATTTACTTGGATTTGAATCAATATATATTCTGGGTAAAGAGTTGTCTTTCATGCTTGTAGAACTTTGATCAGCACCCCTGTAAGAGCTTACAAAATGCCTAATCTACCAACGTTAGATCACATCACTCACACATCCTGATAGAAATTCAGGGCAAGCCACCAAAGGTGCTTGCACTGGCTTGAAGATTGGTACCATGTAAGGATGGGGCATCGCTTTCGGGATGCAGTACATACTGTCAACCCATATAAGGTTTTGCTGTAATAGGTAAAAATACCTAAATCTAGGAACTAAGAGTAGAATGAAGAGTGATCCTGTTTGCCATTACTTCCAAAAACTCCATCGTTCTTGACTGTGGGTCTGGTGGTTCTAAACCCTCAAGGGGGAGTGCTTCCACCGGGGGCCACAGGAAGAGTCCTGTTCACCTTTAAGCTATGGCTTAATCACACTGAGCTCTTGTTCCAAGAGACTAGCAGGCAAGCAAAGCAGGTACCATGCTGGCAGGCCTTGCTGATCAGGAGCAGCTACTTCCCAGCACGGACACGCTAGATGCTAATGCTTAGCATCTAGGTCAGTGACGGCGAACCTTTTAGAGACGAGTACCCAAACTGCAACCTCAAACCCGCTGATTTGTCACAAAGTGCCAACAATACAATTAAACCTGAATATTGAGGTTTTAGTTTAGAAAAAAAAAATCTGTTATTCAGTGGCTGGCTGCTGGGTGACTTGGCTTGTGGGCTGACAAAGAGGGCTCTGCGTGCCTGCTGCGCCATGCGTGCCATCGTTCACCACGACCAACCTAGGTTATTCACCGGGGCATCTTTGGTACTGTCTGCCTAATTTTGACAGTAACTGGACACATGCGGCAATTACATCCTGAAAAGAGATGAGAACTCAGAGCTCTTAAGGACACAGATCTAGGTCACCACACCTAGGAAGTCACCTAGACCAACAGGTGAGGGGAATCTGTGGAGAACAAAAGAGAGGTGATGAGTGTCAATTTGGTTCTGAAACTAGGTACAGCGGAGAATAGAGTTCACTTGATTAACATTCCTCCTGTAAGGGAAAGATACCATCAGAAATCCCGGAGATGGTATGAACTTAGCATACGGGGCATGTGGACCCAAAGGCACAACAGGTGGACCATAGCAGATGCCGTCATGTATGGTCCAGATTCCCCTTTTAGAGCCAAGACACTCGTGGCCTCAGTCACCAGGCATCCTGGAGGGGATGGCTTATGCCGAGTCTCTCTCCAAGATTGACCTCAGCCAAAGGGAGCTCCCTGACTTCCTAAGGAAAGTCTCCTCTCCAGGGCAGTGCACACTGGGTTACTGGTTGACACATAAGTACAAAAGCTCAGCTCCCTTACATCTGTCTGGGGTATCTCTGAAAGGCCGTCGCAGCACAAGCTCCCTGAAAAATAGGCTGGACCCTCTGAAGCTGCTGCACCTTCTCCCTTTGCACAGTCTTGCTGCCCTCACTCCCTCTCAGGATGTTGTTCCCAAGAGAACATCCCTATAGAATCCCTTCACCAAAATTTCCATCTCTAAGTTCTGTCTCTGGGCCAACACAGTCACAAAGACGGAAATTTCAAATCAGTAAGTCTCAGTATGGAAGAGAATGGAAGTTACTAAGTGCAGCATAAGATGCTTGTATTCTCCGTGGAGGTGGTGCTCGAACAGCCAAACTTAGTCTGCTTATTGATTAGGGTTTCATCTGCTCTAATAGGTCCTGGGAAGAAATATAAATAGTGTTTTGAAACTGTAAGTATGAAATAATTTTTACTGGTATTAAAACATCATTAGCGTTTGAACATTCACTGCTGAAAGCAGTGCTAGCCAATGTTTCATTAAACAAGAGCACATTTTTGCACCTGTGTGAGTTTAACAAAATGTAAACAAACAGCCTTCTTACCTCCCAAACATCAGGGTGTTGTGTAATTTTAAATATCTGAAAATCAGGTAGGCTCTTTTGTAAGTAGTCTGCCAGAAGTTCTGCTTTAGCATAATATGGACAATCTGCTTTACCTAAGAGAATTCACATTAGCCATGTTTGCTTTCATCACACAGCAATTATTATGTAGTTACAATTATGCACCACAAAATTATGGAATTAATCACAGTTATGATATAATTTTATATATAACTTAAAATTATAGTACAAACTGCCATGACATAATCTTCTGATTGTTATTATGCTAATAAAAGTAAAATAAATTTCACAGGAGGTCAGAATCTTCAGTAGTGAAGTGTGGAAAGGAAAACAGTCCATTGAATATTTACTTTCTTCCAGGTCTGTGCCACGTCTCCCTTCTTTAAGAGGCTGCCAAATACTACTAAATAAGCTTGAAGTGCTCACAATGAAAGCTACTCACTAGAAGCCGCTCAAAGGTGAGGTGTGAAATGAGGTACACTGGGAGTCACTTTGAATTTGCTATGTAACCCAGAGTTGTGGCAGAGGGAGAAAAGCTGAGGGAGAGAGAAGAGTCCAGGATAATTTCTGTTTTCTAGATTGGGTAGATAATCCTGACCTCGTAAGGGAGAAATGCATTTCAGACAAGTGTAATGGGGGTGTCTGCAGTGTACATAAGTGGATAGGACCAGTGTGCAATCAGGATGTAAGTCGGAAGTGGAGATGCCATGAGACGGGCCACACATTTTTGAAGCCTGAACACACAGGAAGCTGAATCTGCCACTGGGAATGGGACTGAGTATCAGATAAGGGAGGGTGGACAGGGGCCTCACTGTAACATTTTTCCTCAGTTGCTCCCAATCACTAGTTCCTCAACCCTCATGAGAACCCCTAAGTCATCAACCCTTCTCACAGTCGCACTATTAGCCTCTCTGTTTAGTTCAAATCCATTGTCCATCACTTCAAATCACTCTATGGCTCATGTCAAAAATGATTCTTCCCAACTGTCCTTCTGGAAAATAAGTCTGGTAGAAGTCCTTCACCCTGGATGGACTCAATCACATCCCTTCTTGTGCGTGGGTCCTTTCTGCTTAGTACCACTGGAAAAACATCATAGGACCAAGCACAGGAGGACGTTATAAATCACAGTCTCCAGAATCAGCTGTTCCTTAGGCAGGGTGCGGTGGCACATGCCTGTAATCCCAGCACTCAGAAGGCTGAAACAGGAGGACTGCTGGAAGTTCAAGGCCAGCCTGAGCTACAAAGTGAGTTCAAGGTCAAAAGCCAGAATCAGTTGTCCTCAGTTCTGGAAAGCCCTCTGTTTCCTGTACTAGAACTCTCTACTGTTCTCCACAATGACTATTCCACATTTTGTCGGCGTCCTCCAAATCTCCTCTCTTTTAACATTTCTCTGCACTACCAAGAAAACCCACCACCTTGTTTTCTACTTTACAAAAATTAAAACAAACCAAACAACAGACATCGGTGGGGAAATCCCTGAACCTGCCATCACACTATAAGTCTGTCTGCACTGGGACTCATGCTTTTCTTTCTTCTTTTATTGCTGTCTTGGTCTAACCCTACCACTTGATTTCAGAACCCCACCCTCTTCGCCTTCTCAAGAACCTTGTTCAACTTGTCACCCTCTCTTTCTAGAATCTTACCTCTGTTTCTAATGCCCCCTTCCCACCCTATTTAAATATATTCAAGTTACATATAAGTTTCTCATGTCTAAAACACCCATTTCCCATGTTTTCTTTTGTATTTAAACTTCTTTTACAAATCCTTTTACACTTACCTTCTGCAGTTCTCCACTTCCATTTATTTCTCATCCCATACTTATCCCACAATCTAGGAGGTTATAAAATCCATCTTATCCCACACTTTCTAGGAGGTTATAAAAAACTTCCATGCCACTAAACTCAGTGGACATATTTTGATCCCTTTCTTTTTGACCCATGGCATCATTTGTTACTGCTCTGTTCTTCTGCCCTTATTAACCACCCGCTACAGGGAGGCATTCTGTAGGTCTTCCTTCTACTTCTCCGGCTACTCCTTTATATGCTCTGTGGATACCTATTACCTTTTCAACCCATTAAAAGGTATCATTCTGCCTGCCATCTTCTCTGCATACCCTTTGTATTCTTACTGGCCAATCGCCACTCCCTTGGTTTCACACAGCAGTCTATATTCCATCGGAGACCCATCTCTATGACTGGGTGCCTACACTGTCTTGTATTCTTCCATCTCCTTCTCAGTGTCATAGGCACTCAGGATGTCTATGATGGATGTTTCTGCCATTAGTTCCCAGCCAAATATGCTCCTTCAGCTATGTTCTTCATATACATCTCCTCTGTCACTTACAAATATTAAGGGTAACCACAGTATTAAGCTTAATCTTCTGCTTAAGTTTGTTCAATGACTCCTAATCTACCCAGTTATCCAAACCACTGTCTGGAAGTCATTTTTGGCATTTTCTCTCTTACTTGCCCTCCTCCATCCAATTAGATAACCAGTTCTATAGATTCTACCTCCTGAATTGCTCTCTAATCTATGAATTTTTCTCCACTGCCATTGTTCATTGTGGTTTTATTTTATTATGCTCACCTCTTCCAAACACCTTCTAGGTACTTTGGATAAAGTCTAAACAACCTAACATAACTCAAAAACTACATTATTTTAGTATAGCATCACCCTATAACATTCTTCCTTGTATTCTTTGCTCCAGTCCTACTAAATTATTTACATTTTATACTTATTACTTTCAATTATTACCCATTAGCTATTTTCATGGGAATCCCATCCTTACACAAATGCTTAATTTCTCTGCTCCATACCTCTTCTCAGCTAGGTAACTCTCATCTTTCAGGTCTCTCCTTAACAATTTCTCCCTCTGTGGAAGCCCTTAACAGGTTAAGGAAGGTTCCTTGCCACTAGAACACTGCTCTGCTACCGCCGTACACAACATTTCCTGCAAATTTCCCACTTTCTTCCTAGCATACAGTTAGTCAGTGCTCAAAAATATTCCTTGGAATGGATAAAGAAGCAAAAGTAGGCAAATAGTAAACGCAAACTGTACTCAATAAATCAAAGAGGTCAAGTAAGGTAAGGACTGCACAGCTTTTGTTAATCTCCTTGGTGACTTTTGAAGGCAGTTACCACGAGGAAGAAGATGTACAAACCAGATCGAGTGGAATAGAGGGGAGATGGAAGAGCAGTGGTTTCCTTCTTGCGAGGTCCTTCCCCTTTCATTTGCTGCCAAGATAGGCGTCCCAAAATGTAAAACTCTTAAGGACACTCTCTTCTCTGAGTTTTTCAGTCACTCTTCATTGCTTTTACAGCGCAAACACCTCTGATAGGTGCATGTGAGGTGGAAGGATCTGGCTCCTGATTGTATAAATTTAGTCCCAGGTCTTGTTATTCTCCCCATATCCAGATTCTCCGTTAGACTACGAGGCTCTAACCTTTGCTTTCGTCTGGAATGGTCTTCCAAACCCAAACCTTCACCACTCAGCACCTGTAACAGTTCCCCTAGTGAACCTCTTTGCTCGCCTTCCCCCACTTCCACTTCCAGAGTAAGGATATATGTACTGTGTTCTCCTAGAGACCTGAGCACCTTTCCCTCATCGGGTTAATCGGGGTTAATCGCACCGTATCAAAGCACTTATTTTTACATTTTGCCCTACGAGAAAGGAAACTTTCCTTCGAGGGCAGGGATACATTTTCCCCTCACTGTATCCGCACTATTCAGCAGTGCTTGGCACACTGTGACCTCCCAGTAAATACACTGAACTACATAAGAAAGCTCCCTTGGCCCGTTTATGGGCTGGAATTGCACTTTGAGCGATCTGCGGGAGCATGCGGGCAACACTTACCCGCAATCACGAATTTAGCCATGATCAAGCGAGACTCAGAGGCAGGGACCACAGCGTCGCGGTGTCCCAGCAACCACACAGCGGGAGCGGCGCAGGCGCATTATGGAACTGGAACCGTGAATTCTGACCCTGAGCCAGAAAGGTTAGGACTTCAGAGATATGATTTGAGTAGATTGCATTGTGGTACACAAAAACACATCGCTTTGATAAGCTCTGCTGTTTCCCTCGACCCTAGTTTGTATTTCGGTATTCAGGAAAATTAGCCAATCTTTTAGACTATTTTTTTTTTCTCTCTAAACTTCTTTCTACAACCATCGCGAATGTACAGTTTTTGGCCTTTAAAGGTATCCGTAAACTCTCGCGAGAAGTGTAATTCTCGGGGAAGCTGTCATGGCTGCGCTCGTAGGTGGCCACGGGGTACCTTTCTAAGGTGAGTGGAGCACGAGCTCAGGCGGAAAGACTCGCAGCATCTTCTCCTAGACTTTTTGCCCTACAGAAAAAACTGTGAGGAGTGGACCCGACATTAAGGGAGAAGGTTACGGTGGGTGGCCCGCCCAGCTGCGGAAGGACGTTGACAGTGCTTTCGGGGCTAAGACCTTTCAAGCGTGGTTCACCTCACTTTTTTTTCTCCTAAGTCCAACCTGTCTAAATCCGTATTCTTAACCCACAGCTACTACTGACTCATTTCAGTTTCATACGTACTACTCATGAGTCCGCAGGACCCGTAAATTTAATTTTTTATAAAAGTAAAAAATATGCTACATTTTATTTCTAAACACATTACGTAAGTATTGTAGCATAAAAACCAATTTTCATAACCCTGAGGGTTAAAGTTTCCTACAGCACTGATTGCAAATTTTAGAGGCGTCACTTTTAAAAATGCATCGGGTCCTGGGGGCCCATTTGTAGTAGCTGCGGGTTAGTCCAGCTTCTCCCTTCGCAAAATAATAATGTTGAAGAGAATCCATTAATGTTATACGTTTTGATTTCATTGACTATATCTCGAAGTCAGTGCTAATAAATATCCCTTCTGCAGAGGATATTTTATGGAACACTTATCTCCCAGAGGTTCCTTTTATTATGTTGTTCTTTTTTAGCTAAAACAGTTATTTCTAAAGTGTTTAACTTGAGTACTTCAACACTGTGTACACTCATTGGCAAAAGTGAAAGTCTGTAGTGGTGAAATAGTTTTGCCATTTTAATGTAAATCTTCAGTGACTTGATAGATTCCCATTTAGCTTCAGCATTTCACTAAGTAAAAGTTTTGCTTTAACTGTTTTTGCCATTTATTCGTTTTTATTGAAATTACAAAGTAATAATAAAGAAAAAAATTAAAAATTATTCCATATCCCCACAGTGAATTTGTTTTACATATTACCTCCATGTATAGCAATGCAAAACGGTAGCAAGGGCCACAAAAATGAACATATTCTTTGTTTGCCCCATAAATTCTGCTCATGTATTTTTAAAGAATAATACCAATAAAAGGTAAATGCACTTCTGTTTATGTCTGTATTATTTATAATAGCAAAAATTTGGAAAAAGTCTACATGTCAAAGAAGAAAGTAGCTAATAAAAATATTGAAGTGTACTGCTGTAAAAATAACTGTTTGGAAGTCTGTGTAGCAACATGGACATGTCTATGATACGGTAAGTGAAATAAGTACAATACAAATACTCTGTACACTATGATTGTGACGGTGAAGTCTTCATGCTTTAACTTTTATTCCTTTCATTACCCTGTTCCCTACAGGAAAATGTCAGCACAATGGAAGTGACTTTTGTTTCATATTGACATCCGAAAGGCTTATGAAAGTTTCAGTGGATAACAAAATGAGTAACAAAGCAGGTTCTGTTTTATGGAACCTCAGACAATTCAGCACTTTAGTTCCAGTTAGCAGAACTTTGAGTATATATTCTTTGGGACTTTGCAGACCAAAAACTGATCATTCAAAGTGGAACCTAAGAAATCTTCCATTTAATGACTTTGGTAATAGAGTGAGGCCATCTATTAGATACCTCTTTCAAGATGCATTCATTTTAAAATCAAGAAATGGTGGCTTTCAGTCAGAAAGCTTGAATCCTCTAACAGTCTTTAGAGTTAACAGACTACTTTGTCCTAGAGGACTATCGTTTGACTCAAAACATTCTTTTGTTTCTGTTGGATTGAAGAAAGTAAACTTTCATCATGAGGCCTCCAGTGAAGATGTACCCTCCCAAGAAATGAAGCGAAACCCTATCAACTATTCAAAACTATCTGAGGAGTCTCATTCTCTGAGTGATGTATTAGATACATTTTCAAAAGCACCTACATTTCCTGCTAGTAAATACTTCTTAGCAATGTGGACAATTGCCAAAAGGATGTCTGATGATCAGAGGCGCTGTGAAAAACAATTGATGTTTAAGCACCCTGCCTTTAACCAGCTTTGTGAACACATGATGAGAGAATCCAAGATCCTGCGCTATGACCATCTGCTATTCAGTCTTCATGCGATAGTGAAACTTGGAGTCTTTCAGAATACGCTTCTGGTACAGACTTTGTTGAGGGTTATCCAGGTAAACTCAGAAAGAGACTTGAATGTGTTTTTATCTGGTTTAGTGCATTTTAAAGGAATGAGGGGAAACAGATATGTAGCCTCCTTAAGAGGAACTATCAGTGCAATATATTTATATGTGTGGGTGTATGTGTATATATATATAGAGAGAGAGATTTTTTTTTTTTTTTTTTTTTTTTTGGTTTTTCTCCAGTACCGGGAACCGAACTCACGACCTTGCGCTTGCCAGGCAGGCGCTTTGCCGCTGAGCTAAATCCCCAGCCCCGAGAGAGAGACTTTAAATAGGTGATTTGCTAAGGAAATTTATGAAAGCCTGCCCCCATTTACCTCTCCAGGGTTGAGCAGTAGTGAAGAGGCTGCGATGGCGAAAGGCAAGATAAACAAGGAAAGTTTAGGTAGTTGAAGGAAGGAAAGACAGGAATAGATGAAAAGGGACCTAATATTTATTATTTACGCATTTTACTATATAAGATAGAAACCTGTTATACTCTCATAAGACCTGATTTTTTATCATTACATTAAAATACAACTATGACATCAGTATTTTTACAATTAGAGTCCCTAGTATTCAGCTCAGTGCTTAATACATGGCATGATTCATTAAAGGAATGTTTGTTACTGTTTTTGTAAACACTTCAGGATTATAAGGAACCATGTCTTGTATATCTCTATTGACAAATACAGCAACTTATAAATAGTGGATACCAAATATATTGTTATGGTTTTGTATCTAGATGGCCCCCAAAGCCTCATGTGGTCATAGGTGGGGCTTTTCAGAGATAGCTGGATCTAGAGCTCTACGAGCTTAACATTCCTATATGTACATACAGATTGAGCATTACTTATCTGAAATAGTTTGGACCAGAGTCACTGTGCCCAGTTTAGTTTTCCAAGGTTTTAATTAAGAATGCTCTACTTCTACGTGATAAATATTTGTTGATTAAATGAATACCCAGGCCATGGGAGAATTGGGATTCAGACCCAGTAGGAAATTACGTACAAGCTGACTCCAACGGGTGACCAGCAGTTTGTGAGAGAATTGGCAGTGAAGGGGCAGTGTAAGATTATGTGCATAACATCCTGAAGGAGGGGACTGAGAGTAGCTTGGCATAACTGGGATATTCAACAGTGAGGTGTGTGTTTAGGGAGCAAGTAAGCCATGTCTGTGGAGGTTAAGAGGAGGAGGAAGTGGCAAAGGTTTAGTGGTACGACATGAGCTTGGAAAATTCAAAACCAAATCGTAAGAACCTAGTATGCCTGGTTATGGAATTTGCATTTATCCTGGAGGCAATCTGGAGCCATGAAGGATTTTAAGCAAGAGGTTTGTTAACATGGTCAGATTTGTAATTTAGGTCAATATATAAATGAAGCTGCATTGTACAAAGAATGAAATTGAACAAGAGAGTCAATTTTAGTTCTACACAAGGGTGTCCATGTCATTGACATGGCACCAGATATGAGGAAGAAAGGATTCCCTCCTTAACCATTTGCTTCTTTAGATTGGGCACCTCAGACTTCTAAACTTGATGATAATTAACTTTTTTAAAAGCTCAGAACTCCTGGGGATAATAAGACACATCTGCTGTCTAGCTGCAAGATTCAAAAATTAGATTTGTAGGTGTACTATATGGAGTTTTTAACTTTAACTCTCTGCATTACTGTGATTTCTGTATGTCCTCAACAAAAAACTAGTTCTTATTTTGAATATATTTGTTTAAATCACAAAATATTCATGCTTATTTGGTAGGTTGTGTATTAGTTCCATATAGAGTTATTTAAAAGTGATTACAGTAAGTTGCCCACCTTACCTTATGCTTCTACTGTACTAGGTTTTGCACAGATAATATTACATCAGTGTAGTGTCTGCCTTGGTGACCTGGTAGCATGGGCATTTGGAGTCAGAATGCCTGTGTGTATGACTCTATCTCATTGACTTGGAGTGTTATAAAGACATTTTAGCTGGAGGTAAAAGGATGGTGTGCCATTGATAAATTTGCCCTTCAGACACATAGCCTAGTAATCTTTCCTTTCACAGAAGATGTCGATGGAAATGCCATAAATTGTTAGGAAAACCCTTTCACAGGAATATATCCTTTCTTTTTCCTTTCAGCCTTACCCACTTTAATCACAGTTACTCATAAAATTTTAGCAGTGAGCATACCTCTTTCAGCCTGAGTTTCCGTGGTGTGATCAATCATGTTACTCTTATGAGGTATACAGACTAGTTGTGACTCACTTGTAGAGTACTATTATGCCCACTGCCATTTCTGGGATCTGAACTAGGACCCTAACTAAAGAGACCTGAAGAAGAAATCTGTGAAGACTGGCTGTTCTTAGACCCAGATTGTGGTGATAAAATTTGGCAGGAGATGAACATAAGAAAATTTCCTACTGAAATTATGACTTGATATGCAGGAAAAATACAGTGAAATTGTAAGGGCACAGCTGTCTAAGGGACTTTGATAATGATAAATGTACAAAAGTGTTGATGCATAAAACAATATAAATCCTTGGAAAATTCATTTAAATGTGACTTTTCCTTTTTCAGAGAAGCTATTTGTCATGGACTAACTATATGAATCCCTGGCTTGATACTTAGTCTGTTAATTGAAAGCATCAGTTCAGTGGTTTCTTGGGTGAGATAGTCTGCCTTGCTCATCACCTATAGTATTTTCGCAATTATATTTCAATAGGAACGTATCAATGAGTGTGATGAGAAAGCGCTCTCAATTTTGTCAACTCTCTTAGAGGCAATGGAGCCATGCAACAATGTAGATGCTCTTCGAACAGGATTGTGGTGAGAACTTTTTCTTAAATGTGGGTTTCTCTGTTCTTATATTAGGAACGAAAAACAGATAAACTGAGCTCCTTTTCTGGAGAAGGAAGTAAGGCATGATTGGCAGTTAAAGTTTTTAATACTTTATTAAATTTAAAATTGTGGCTTTGGATGAAAAATAACTGAAAATAACTTTTTTAGAGTCTACCATATGAAATGGTATGGACAAAATTAAAATCTACATTTACATTAAATCTAAAAAAATTTTGAGATAAATTAAATCTAAATTTATCTTAAAAGATAGGTAGGGTCAGGAGATGTATATTTAATTCAGAATAGTTGTGTAGGCACTATTGGAATGATATGAAACTGGCTTAGCTTGAAAAGGAATTTATAAAATTGATGTACCTAATGTCATTAAAATTTCTAATGTCATAGATATCTAATGTCATGGATTTTGAGAGTGATACCTAATTTCCTTTTTTGTTGGCTATGCATGGAATGACTTACTCTAATCTCCTAGTATGATTTATTCATTAGTAAAGACAGCACAATGATGTGACAGGAAATAGTGCTAGACTGGTTCTGGGTCTTTCACTAACATTTATTGTGTTCAATGCAGGTTGCTAGTTGATCAGCAAGTTTGGAAAATAAAACATGTCTTCACATTACAAACTGTGATGAAATATATTGGAAAAGACGCACCAGTTGCTCTTAAAAGGAAGTTGGAGGTAGATACTTGAGTTTTATCTAGTGAATGAGATTTCCAAAACATATTTCTTGCCAATTGCTGTTATTTTCTGAAGTCAGTTTTTTAGGAGAACTTCATTGTACTTTTGAGTTTAGGCCTGCTAAAGTGTATTAAGACATATTTATTTATATATATAAATACAGAGGTATTTATTTTTCCAAGTCATTCTCAAATTTCATTCTTTATATTTAAAAATAAAAATTTGGTTTTTTACAAATGATAAATACAAGCATGTCTTTCTTTAGATGAAAGCTTTGAGCGAATTAGATGGATTTTCTGTTTTGAATAGCCAGCACATGTTTGAGGCATTATCCACCATGAATCACCGTTCGGTTATACTCCTGAATGAATGCAGCAAGATGATCTTAAGTAAGAATGTTTTCTTTATGATTTGAAGCATCTGAACTAATGTTTTAGAATAAATTTGTTTTGATTTTAAAACTTCGCTTTTTTATAAAAAAATTTATGATGTAGTTATATCTAAATTTTATTTTTGCCTATAGTTTTTTAAAAAACAAAATACAGTACTTTTTTCCCATAAGCAAAAGTATTGAGCATTGTGAAACTTGCATTCAAAACCACCTGATAATTTTTGTTTGTTTACTTAACTCATTCTTCAAGATAATATCCATGGGTGTCCTATTAAAGTACTCATCAACATATTGCAATCCTGCAAAGACCTTCGATACAATAATTTAGATCTCTTCAAGGGAATAGCGGATTATGTGGCTACAACTTTTGACATCTGGAAGTTGAAACACGTGAGTATGTTATCAATTGCGACTAAGCCTCAGAAATTTTAAGAAACATATTCATTCACTTAGCATTTTAAGTATTTCTTTCTGTTTTCTAGCAGGTAAGTTATCAAAACATTCCAATTCTAACTTGACTTTTGAAAAATTAGCTCCCTGTTATTTTTGTCTGGGAGATTATTTCTGTCCTTATTAGTACATTGCTCAATCTTTTGATGATCTATCTGCAATAAAATTATATTATCTAAACTTTGCTCGTCTATTTGAGTTTCAAAAGGTCGTATGGTACTTTAGTTAGGTGTTTAGTATTATTTATACTTTTTCCCCTGTTAGATTTTTAAAGATGAGTGATGTGACAGAATAAAATATTACTAGTAAATGATAATGTCCACTGTTTTCTCCAGAATAAAAGCCTTTAAATTAAGGAGTGCTATTTAATAATAAAAGCAATTAAAATGAAGCAGTGTATGAAAACCTTTTTACCAGTGAAGTAGGTGATAACTGTGGTAGATCAGTAGGATCAGTTTACTTTGAAGAGTAAGGTGAATGTGGGTTTCTTACAAAATTTATTTTGGGAAAAAAAGTAATTATTGTGATAAAAACCAAGAGGGAAATGAGAAGTGAACTGGAAAACTTATTTTAATCATAATATTTCAGCTCTATTCTCACTTTTAGAAATTAATATTAAATAGAGAAATTTTGTTTATCTCCAGTGTTAGAACGTAGGAAGTGACACTGTGGGAAGTGAACCAGAAGCAACCCAAGATTTCAGATGAGAAAAACAGCAGCAAAGATATATTTTAAAAGTAATTCCCATATCATTAGTATGAATGCATGTAGGAAAAGATTTTTACATAAAAGTATGGAGATGATTGTATGACCTGATGCTCAGTTTATAAAGAAGATTCCTTATTAACTTGATAGAGTTCCTTTCTTCTCCTTTGTTCTTTTTAGGAAATATTCTGTTATCGGAGAGTTTGTATTGCTCTTTAGACTTTTTGAGATCAAAAATATTACTGTTAGTATACTGTCACTAAAAAGATTTTCCTGAATTCTCTCTTTTTAAGGTTCTTTTTCTCCTCATTTTTTTGGAAAAACTTGCCTATCGACCTGTTGATCTGATGAACTTGTTTATGAAGAAAATTGTTGAGGAGCCTCAATTTCTAAACAAGAAAAACATTATCTCTATTCTTCATGTATATTCATCTCTTAATCATGTGAACAAATGCCAGAACAAAGAGTATGTACTTTTTATTTTTACTTTTTTATTACCAAATAACATATATGCAGATAATATTACAATCATAAACTTAAAGGATTATTACCAGTGAACATATCCATAATTCTCACTCATGTCAAGAAATAAAGTAGTGTTTCTTTTGCATTTATAAAGTTAAACAGAATTTTAGTTTTTGCTTTTTGTTATCTTGTTTTTTTGTTTTAATCTTTTTATTCAGTATAGGAGTTTTCATTTCAAACTCTCCTGGCTTATTCCCTCAGATCCTATGTTCAGAGTTCATTTTTTGAAACTCTGTTAAAATGTTGAGAAATATATTTAATTTTTTTTATTTTTTACTTTTGATTTCTTTATTTTTTATTGTGGCAAGAACTTAACGTGAGATGTACTCTTTTATCAGATTTTAAGTGCATAGTACAATATTGTTTACTATATGCACAGTGATGTACAACAGATCTCTAGAACTGAATCACCTTCCCTAAGTGAAACCTTATACCCCGTGAACCGCAACTCCCAGTTTCTCTTCTTTCTACCTGCTATCTGAAGTCATTAGTTCAGGAATTTCTAGGAGTTTGATTTTTTTAGGTGGCTCCTGGTATTTGATCTCCTGTGACTAGCATACTTTACTTGTAAGTCCTCTAGGTTCATTCATGTTGTAGCATATGGTAGGATTTCCTTTTTAGGGGCTAAATAATATTTCACGATATATATGTACCACGTTTTCTTTATTAATCTGTTTATGGACCTTTGGTTATTTGCATATCTTGACTTTTGTAAATAATGTTGAGTGCAAACATTTTTCTGAGATCCTGATTTCAGTTCTTATGAGTGCAGAAACAGGATTGCTGATCATATTGCAGTTCTACTTTAAAATTTTTTGAGAAGTAGTTACACTATTTTCCTTGATGGCTGTGCCATTTTTCATTTCTACCAACAATATGCGAGGGTTCCAATTTCTCCCCACCTTGCCAGCACTTACTGTTGTTCTTTTTGGATACTAATCACTTGTTAGATGATGTCTCATTATGGTTTTGATTTGTGTTTCCTTGATGATCACTGATTGTGAGTCCCTTTTCCCCTGTCTTTGACCATTTATATGTCTGTTTTGGAGAAATACCTGTTTAGGTCCTTAGTCCTTTTCCTAATCATGTTTCTTGTTTTTTTACTATTGAGTTATAGGAGTTCCTTACATATTTTGGATATTATCCCCTATCAGACTCGTAGCTTGCCAGTGATTTCTCCCATTCTCTAGGTTGCCTTTTGATTCTGTTGATTCTTTGCTATGCCAAAACTTTTTAGTGTGACATAGGCCCTTTCATCTGTTTTTGCTCTTATTACTTGTACTTTGGTGTCACCTCCAAAAAATCATTACACAGCCCAGGATCATAAAACTTTCCCTATGTTTCCTTCTAGGAGGTTTCGAGGCTGAAGTCTAATGTTTAAATCATTAATCTGTCTTGAGTTGATTTTTGGTTTTTTTGTTTGTTTGGTTGGTTTTTTTTAGTTGATTTTTGTGCATGGTGTAAGATATGCATCTAATTTTATTATTTTGTATGTGGACATTCAGTTTTGCTAATGCCTGTTGTTGAAGACTGTCTTTTCCCCATTAGGCCTTCTTGGCATTCTTCTCTATTTTTCTGCCAGTACCGTGCTGTTTTAATTACTATAGCTTCACAGTATATTTTGAAAAGAGAAAATGTTATCCTTCCAGTTTAGTTCTCTCTTCCCAAGATTACTTTGGCAATTCAGGGAATTTTGTGCTTTCCATATGAATTTTAGGATTGTATTTTTTGTATTTCTGTACAAAATACTACTGGGATTGCACCAAATCTGGATAATTTTGAGTAGTATAGACATTTTAACAACATTGTCTTCCAGTTCAGGAACATGAGATATCTTTCCATTTATTTGTGTTGTCTTTAATTTCTTTCATCTATGTTTTATGGTTTTTGGTGTTATAAGTCTTTTACTTCTTTGGTTAGATTTAATTAAGTATTTTACTCTTTTTGATGCTACTGCAAATAGGATTGTTTTTCTAATTTCCTTTTTGGATAATTTGTTATTAGTGTGTAGGGATAAAGCAAATAATTCTGTCTGATTTGCATGTTTTTTGTTTCTTCTCCTTTATTTGTTGTTTGTGTTTATTTTTTTTGCCTAGTTACTCTGACTAGGAATTCCAATACTGTGGTAAGTAGAAGTGAGAGCAGACATTTCTCCCTTGCTTTTGATCTTCTACAAAAATATTTCAACTTTTTCACCATCTAATATGATGTTGGATATGAGCTGTTTTATTTATTTATTTTTGTGGTACTGACAATTGAACTCGGCTTTCATGCTGAGCTACATCACCAACCGTTTTTGAAATTTTTTATTTTGAGATAGGGTCTCTCTAAGTTGCCCAGGCTTAAACTTGGACTCATGCTGTCTCAGCCTCTTAAAGTGCTGCAGTTACAGTTGTGTTACACCATGCCTGGCTCTGTGAAGTTTTTTTTCTTTTCCTGTCTTTTCCTTTCTTTTCTTTTTTCTCTTTTCTTATTTTTGTCTCTCTTCTCATCTCCTTTCTTTCTTTCTTTTTTTGACACTGGGGATTGAATCCAGTGCCTTAACACTGAGCTACTTCCCCAGCCCTTTTTCATTTTTTTCTCTTGATTTAAGGTCTTGCTATATTGTCCAGGTTGGTTTCAGACGTGTGATAGTCCTGCCTCAGTCTCCCAAGGAGTTGAGATTACAGGTGTCTGCCACCATACCTAACTATCCATTTCTTCTTGATTGTGTAATTTGTTGGCATATAACTTTAATAGTAGCTTGTTATGCTTTTCTTATTTCTGTAGTATTAATTGTAGTGTCTCCTTTCATTTCTGATTTTATTTAAGTCTTCTCTTTTTCTATTGGTCTATCTAGGATTTGTCAACTTTATTAATCTCTTTTAAAAATCAAATCTTAGTTTTTTACTTCTTTAGTTTTTTGTTTCACTTATTTCTTCTCTAACCTTTTTCTTCCCTTTACCAGCTTTGAGCTCAGTTTATTTTTCTTTTTTCTAGTTTCTTGAGGTGTAAATTTAGGTGGAGATATTTTTTAGATAGATATTTATTGCTGTAAACTTCCTGACTGGAGAATTTTTGGTGGCGATGTGTTCTTGTTGAGATATTTCCTAATTTCCTTTTTCTTTTTTGACTGATTCCTTGTTCAAGAGTCCATTTTGTAATTTTCACATATTTGTGAATTTTCCAGTTTTCCTTCTGTTAATGATTTCTACTTTTATTCCATTATGGTCTGAGAGGATACTTGGTATGATTTGGATTTTCTTGTTTGTTAAGACTTTTTGTGACCAGCAACTGGTTTTTCCTCAAAAAGGTCCTGTCTGGTGCTATGGAACGGATAGTCTGTGTATTTCTGTGATAATTCATTTAAAGTGTTACACAATTTCTTTGTTTCTTCATTGATTTTCTGTCTGGATTTTCTATCTGTTACTGAAAGTAGGGTATTGACGTTTCCTATGGTTATTGTATTGCTGTCTTTTTCTCCTTTCAGATCTATCAGTTTTTGCTTTATAATGTAGGTACTCAGAAGTTGAGTCCATATATAATATATTATTTGTTTACCTTCCTGCTGATTTGATCATGTTATCATTGTATAATGACCTTTGATATTATGACAGTTTGTCACAGAGTCTATTTTATAATTATAGTTTTCTTAATACTTTTGTCTTTTAACTTTTATGTTAAAATTAAAGTGATTTATATTCACTTTCATTTCCCTTCCTCTCCCCTCCCTCCATCTCTTGATCCCCTTTCTACTTGAGAAAGAGCTCTCTGCTTCCTATTATGTTTTATTTTGCTCTTTATTTATACATTGGTTTCCCATATAAGAGAAACCATGTGATATTGAAGCTTGTGTGTCTGATTTATTTCACTTAACATTATGGCCTCAAGGTATAACCATTTTCCTACAAATGACTCAAGTTTTCCTTCTTTATGGCAGAGAAGTACTATGGTGTGTAAATACATACCACATTTTGTTATTCATTCATCTGTTCATGGACATATATACTGCTTCCAAGATTTAGCTCTTATGAATTGTACTGCTATAAACATGTTACACACATGTGCCAACTCCACATAAGGAATGTAAACATTATTTACTGCAAATGTACTAGTGAAAAAACCTCAAAGTAAAGAAATTGTTCATGCCAAAAAAGTGGTTTCCATAACACCAGTACAGGAGTATAGTGTCATGGATCTATCTATATGTTTATCTTTACCAAGGAGGTTTCTGCTTCCACATGCCATTGTATTGCTGTTGTTCTGTGTCCTTCCATTTCAACTGGAAGAACTCACCATAGTGTTTGTTGGAAGGCAAGGCTAGTGGTGATGATTTCCTTCAGGTTTCATTGGTTTGAAAGTCTTTATCTTTCCTTCATTTTTGAGGACTATCTCAGAGATAGTATGCCTAATTGACAGGTTTTCTTTCAGCATGTTGAATACATTTTCCTACTTCTTAGCCTGCAGGATAGTTCCATGGGTGAGTGATGAATTGCGTTTTTCTTCTATCAAAATTCTCTTTGTTTGACTTTTAACAATTTGATTACAGTAAATTGTCTTGATGTAGGTTTCTTTTGATTCATCTGCTTTGGGAACATTTTGGCTTTATGAGTATGAATGTCTGCTACCCTCCCAAAATTTGCAGGCTTCTTGGCCAGGCTCCTTTAAGTAAGCTTTTTGCTCCCTTCTTTCTTTTCACTCTGCTTCTGAAACTCATTATGTGTGTTGATTTCTTTGATGGTGGCTTGTAAGTCCCTGGGCTTTCTTAACACTTTTTCATGCTTTTTTTCTTTTTGCTCCTTTGAGTGCAGTCAGTTGCCGAGGCTTCCAATTAAGTCTGTCATCATATCCGCCAGTGAAGTTTCAGTTCAGCTATTCTTCAGGTGCAGAGTTCCTGTCGGCTCGTTTTTGTAGTTTCTTATCTCTTTATTCCTTTCTTACTTTGTCCCATTATCATTTTCCTGATTTCATTTGTCTGTGCTCTCTTGCAACTCAGTGAGGTTGCTCTGAAATGATCAAAGTACTTTCTCCACATTCTTTGTGAGGCATTCAATAAATTTCCACTTTTTTGGGTTTGATTACTGGAGATTTACTTTGTCCCTTTGACTGTATTGTGTTTCCCTGATTCTTTGGGTCCCTTGTAGCTTGATGCTGTGTTCTGCTCCCCATCTTACAGACTACTGAAATAGGTGAGGCCCTTAGCACGTAGCCCAGCCCGCAAGTGGAGGAGTTTAGCAAACCTTTTCTGTAGAAGGGCCTTCTCTTGAACTGTGCATATGGATTCCCAATTGGAAGCATTTGCTGGTCTCATCGGCTATCTCAGGCGTGCATGATCTCTTGCTCCCTCTGGTGTCTGACTGCTGCACTGCAGGAAAGAACATTGCCTCCACCTCGCTCTGTCCTGTGAAGGAGCCCTGAGTTCTTCCTTTTCCCAGTCCTGCAGAGCTGTGCTAGCCTCTGCTAGTCACCAATCCCTTTTCCTTTCCTCTTACTTTCACCCATGCATCTGAACTATGCTGGTTGTGTTGGCAAGAGCTGTGAGCCTAGTTAGAACCAGTCCCCTCAGACGCCACCCCAAAAGGCTTTGGTGTTGAAGGCACACTCCACTTGTCTCCCCTGCTCCTGGACTGAAGCTGCAAAGTCTCCACCTCAGTTTTGCAGGAAGTCATCTCTTTCCCTTTGTTCTCAACTTCGCGCAGGCATGCCCACTGCTGTCCCTTCCTACTTCACATGGGGTGAGGTGTGAGCCTCCGTCAGGGTGTAGAAGGCTGGGATGCTGGGTGCCTGCTGCCCCCTTGTTTTCCCAGCGGAAGTTGCAGGCCAGTGAGCTCTCTTGGTGCTCAGCCTTGTCAGCTCAAGGGAGGCCTCTGTGTGGAAGGTAAACTTGCTCTATTTGTGTTTGTGCAGAGCTGGTCTTGGTTTTGCGCTTCTCTTGAGTACTGTAGTGCAGTCCCTTGAGCGGATTCAGGACTCCACAGAAAGGCTTTCAGTCTGTTTATTGTTGTTAAATCTTTGTTTCTGTGGGGCTGTGAGAGCTGGATGTTCCTCTTCTGCTACCTTGCTGGCACCACTTCCCCGTGGTTCAGCTGTCACCCTAACCATCCCTTTAGTCCCACACTAGTGCTTTCTGGTGTTTTTATTTTAATCCCCACCATGCCGCTGCTCCTCCGAGTGCCAGGTTGTTTCACACCTTTGCTTTCCACTTGGAACATCTTTTCTTGGTTTCTGGGTCAATTAGCATTCATTAGATATTGGAAATGGATGTGAAAGGTCATTTGTTAGGAGACTGATTAAAAGACAGGAGACAGTTTTCTTAGGTTTGAATCCCACCCCTGCCAGTCACCGGCTACTTGACTTTCTGCAAGTTATTTACCTGTGCCTTGACTTACTCATTACTAAAATGGGGTGAAATATTTCTAGTTGGCATTGGGTCATTTTGAGGGTTGAGTGAGTTAACGTATGCTAGGCTCTTAAAACAGTGCTTACATAAAGTAATTGGTAGAGTTTTAAAACGTTAGAGTATAGAACACAGAGGTTACAGCGGAATGAGCTAAGGTGGTTCTGAGGGTCTTAGTGGCAGGAGTCACAGGCCATCTCCTTCGGTCGAATAACTTGACTCCAGCTGCACACAGTCCTATAGGTTTTGCTTTAGGTTTAGATTTCAGAAAAGTCTCATTGAGTTCAGTTGAAACGTCTATCCCTTTGGGCAGTTAATGAACACAGCGGTGCTAGGCCACCTTCCAAGAAGCTGTCCACGGTGCTATCCACTGAGCAGCTGGGCATTTCTTGGGCCTTCCCGGATTGTTTCCCGCAGAGCCCCTGTGCTCACTGCGTCTTGCACAAGGCTCAGAGGGTGCCTTAGCATGCAGTGGTAGTTGTCCATACGTCTTTATCTGCTCCTCAGTTGGCAAGCTCTGTAGAGTCAAACCTAGGTTCCTGTTATCTTGAACATAGCACAGGGTCTGGCAAAGAAGGCACAGTCAGTAGAGGTCGAAACCCAGGAAGAAAACATTGATCATTTAAACTCTGTCACTTTGGTCTCTTGGTTTCTTCACCTAGTTAGCACCCTCTGGCTAATCGCAGAATTGCATCTGCGCTCATTAGCATACTCCTGAGCTCCAGGCCTGTCTGCAAGTCGCATTTGCTCACGGAGTTGCCCAGAAGAGTCCAGTTTCAGTGATTCTGAAGTGAGCTTATAACTGTTGACTCACCATGTTCCACTAATATGCTCCTCCCCTGTCTTCTGCATGTAAGCTCACTTGTTCCTTTAGCTAAGAAATGTTTCCCAAGCACCTGAGCAGCTGGCACAAAGATGAATGAGACACCATCCTTCATGCAAAAAGATTTGGTTTAGTAGGTTAGGTAGACACAAAAGATACCAATTAAATACAGCATGAAACCAAAGTGATGGAGTTGCATGGAGGATATTTAGAAATAGAGGGGCCGGATGTGCCAGGATACATCTAGTGAAGAAGAGGGCAGGGCACATGTAGTCCCTGGTGCCTGGTTGAGATACTACCCAAGCTGATCTTAAAAGATGGGTAGATAGGTGGCCGGATAGATAGGGAAGATAAGCAGCAGGGCACAAGCTGAGTAGAAGGCACCCTTTGTGCCTGAGGGATGTGAGGCACAGCGTAAGGAGTGAATGAGCAAGGGCTACACGGGCCTTCACCTGTGACCCCACCCGTGCTGCTGTGTAATCCAGATGCAGTCAGCGGTCACTTTAATGCTGCTCACTGTCCTCTGTCCGGTTTGGTCCTCCCCTGCCGTTGTAAGGTATGCAGTCTGCCTAGCCCACCAGATCTCCCTCCCTCCTGGACCCCGTTGTCCTGACCTAGGCACCTTCCAGTGGATGGCAGACATTGGCCTTACCAGCTCATTGTTAGTCAGGGCTTCCTTCCGGGCATGTTTGCCTCGCTTTAAGACTCCCTGCTTGTTCCTTCATCTCACTAGTTACTCACTTATCACTGGAATCATGGGTACTTTCAAAGCTCCATTCAGAGGATCTGCCCTCATCCATCTCTTCCATCTGTTCAAATTCTCTGTCTCCCAAAGGCTACTCTGTCTGCTTTCCTTCCTCTGAGCGGTCACATTACTTTTTATGTATTTCACTTTCGTCTTGTGTGATATAGATAACATGCCCTGTGAGTCAGACCGACCTCTCTGGGCATAGGATCTGGCCAAACTTTGATCCTTCCTCTCTCATCTGTGCTTAACTGTTCTGTTATACTATGTAACATTAGCTGTGGATGGCAGCACTAGGTTTGCAGTTCTTTTAACCCAGAGTTTTGAGAGCTAGGGAGTTTTAATTGGTTATAAAATTACAGTAGTGGGTCAGCCCTTCCAGAAAATCTAGCATAGTAATTAAGAGGCTGTGAAGCCTGACAGTTTAATTTCTAATACTGTCACTGCTGCTTCCTGGCTGAGTGTTCATGGACTCGTTACTCAGCTTCTCTGAGCCTGCTTACTCATCCTTATTCCGAAAATAATAATGATGCCTGATAGTGTTTTAACTGGCCTTAAATGAGTGAAAGCCTATGAAATGCGGTATGTGCAAGACACACATAGCAATAGCCAATCATTTATTGGATGTGTACACTTTATTGTAAGATAACTGTCCATCCTGAACTGTGTGTGGAAACTGATTTACAAGCCTGATTTTCTTAACGCTCTTCTTTGGAATGGCATTTGTTTGTAGCACCTGACCAGCTCTTCCATGATTTTATTTTGTGTTTTTGTTTGAAGTCCGACTTTTCTTTGTTCCCTTAAAAGGTTCCTAGAAGTTATGGCTAGTGCTCTGACTGATCATCTTCACCACATCTCATCTGAAACCCTGTTGAATGCTGTGTGTTCGTTTTGCGTAATGAATTATTTCCCCTTGGCTCCTCTTGATCAGCTTCTCCAAAAGGATGTCATCCATGAGCTGCTAACATCAGGTAGGCTGTCAGTGCTCCTAGTGACTGAAACAAGGCACTGCCATGAGGTACATTATGGTTCTTTTTTTTAAAATTTATTTTAAAAATAAAAGAAGGAAAACATATTAACAAACAGACATCCATTTACAAAATAGCATAAGAACAATACAAGTAATACTGAATTAGAGGCAAAGTCATAGGAAATTAACAGTGGTTGTTGTATTACATATTGATAACTCTTCAAAGTGGTTCCTCAGGAATGCATTATGGTTCTGAATGAGAGCTTTGCCAGAACAGACGTAGTTGAAATATACAGAACTGATGTTACTGAGGAAAAGATTAATCCTTCCTAATGGTGAAGTTACGGCTCAGTGCTTCAAGCCAGAACTTCTGTGGAACCTCATTTATTGACAGGTGCTGTGTACAGAAGAGAGTACAGACTGCGTCACTCTCATAGCTTTCCACTGCTCTTTTGGAAACACAGCACCTGAGAAAGTTAACTTACAGGAGGAAAGATTGCTTTGGTGGTTTAGGAGGTTTCTATCCATGGTCCCTCGGCCCCATCACTTTGGGCCTGTGGCAGCACAGCACTCATAGTGAAAGTGTGTGGCAGAGGATGCCGCTCATTCGTGGCATCCAGGAAGTGTAAACACGGAGACAGGAAAGGGTGGAATCCCAGTGTCCCCTTCAAGGGCACCCAGGGGCCTGGCTTCCTTCCAATAGGCCCTACCATCTCCCAGCACACCATAGGCTGGCAGCCAGGACTTCAACATTTGGGTCTCTTGGGGGCATTTAAGATCTGACTCACAGTAGTAACCATTGTGTGCACCTGTACAAATGCTAAATGTGCATTTGCTCTTTATACCTTGATTAGAGGTGTTCGTATTTCCTAATTTTTACATGTCACATCAGAAGCCAACTTAAGTCAACTTCCGCAGCTGTAAACATTTGGTTACCCACAGCCTATAATGAGGATACAGCCTATTAGGTCAAGTAACTAAGTAGGTACCAAATTAGTGACTTTATTTACTTTTGGACCAAAATTAGTGACTTACAATTTTTAAAAAATCTGAGAGTAAAGTAAGTTATTTTATAAAGAATGTTACACGATCCCAAATTTGAGTTGTAAAGGGTCAATACATAATGCTGGTTTTTCAAAGAGTATAATGTTAGAGAACCAGCCTTAAACCCAGGAGACCTGGATTCTGGTCTCCCCGTTGCCTTTAGTTAATCATCATTAACATTGTTGGGCATTTCTCCTCCTATAAAATGAGAAGTTTACACTAAATCATCTCAGATATTTTAAGCCTTAAACTTTGGCAAGTGCAGAGCATTGCTCCAGATACAAGAAGCTAGGATGACATCAGGACGATCCTTGTGACAAGAAAGGCACCATCAGAAACACAGATGTATTCAAGCAGTTTTGTTAATGTGGCAGTAATATTTTTCTTAATGCCGTATACCCTTTCTTTCTTGGTTTTCTCTTCGTAGATGACAAGGAGAGGAATGTTCACAGGCTTCATATTTTGGATGCTTGTCTAAAACTCGATCATACTTCTTATGACAAGGCCATAGACGCAGCACTGCCACCGCTGCCATCTTCCCCATCCCACCCAAATGCAAAAGTTGCTGAAGGATTGAGCAGGCTTCTGGGAGGCGACACAGGGTTCTCGAAAGATGTGCAGTTGCCACATAATTATCATGTTGGTATGGGACTTCCTTGGTTTTATTTCTTTCCCTTTGTTTACGGCAGAAGATTGCTAGTTTACTGCAGCAGTTTAGTGCAGTCTGGCGTCGCGATTGGACCTAGACTGCCTGGGTTTGGATTCTTGCTTTGTGACTTCCTAGTGCTGTAGCTTAACAACCTCAGTTTCTTCATCTGTAGAATCGCAATAATAATAATATCCACCTCACCGGATTCTTGTGAACAGTAAAGGCAAATGTGAAATCCCCAGGCTAGGGTCTGGCACAGGGGCAGCTTTCAGTAAGTGTAGCTACCACCATTAGTACTGGTGGTGGTGTTAGACATGTGGACACAGAAATTCACTTTGAGCAGTGTTTGAAGAATTAATACCAATTTTTTCTTGCAGATTTTGAAATCAGAATGAATGACAACAGGAGGCAAGTACTTTGATTTTCTGATATATATGTACCTTCTGCTATGAATATACGCTATATATACTCATTTTCTAGGCTGTCTAAATTTAAATCTTCATTTGGAAAGACTTCATATTAAATAGCAGTGATACTAATGCTAATGTTTGTATGGAGCGTGTACTACACCAAAGGAATTTGCTTCCATGAATTTACTGCCTAGGGGCATTATATGCATGATGGTTGAATTCACTGGGCTAGAGTTGGGTCACTTATTGTAATGGACATTTTTTTAAACTTTGATTTTGAAGCTAAACAATTCAGTAAAACAATGTTAACGTAGTTGAAACTGTCAAGGCAGTATGCACTTCTGACAATATAATAGGAGCATAAACGCTTGAGAATTCTACAAAATTCACCAAGACCTGTGAAAATGTAGAACCTCAGCCCCTTTAATTAAATTGTGTTATGTGTAGGTTAGAGTACAGTGACACTCATCACAAATTGATTCCTTGATTCCGCATTATATGCACGTACTTCTGGGTAAAAATCAGGACTTCTGGGAGCCTCTGGGAGAAATGTGATTCCACACCGTGGAGAGTGTCCTGCCTGCTCAGCACATGCCCAAGATCATGGAATCGTAGCACACACAGCCTCTGTGGAAAGGCTCTGCTAGGGCCTGTGGGGCACACAGAGATGAGGCCGAGGTGGACGCTGGCCCCAAGGAAGTTATCTCTCTGGTTATTCTCTTAGCTATGCGCATCAATACAGTGCAGTTCTGAGACTTTTACCCTGGCTGAGTCTCCCTGGCTCATCCCTTGGCCATCTTCTTCAAGTGCCGTCTCCCTTACCCATGTTTACTACCTGCCCTCAGGAGAGACTTTCTGACCCTGTTCAAGTAGTTTTGTCTTTTAAGGTACTCCACTGTTCTGACATAATAAAACTTAATAAAAAACAGTAGTTCTCAAAGTACTGAGAAATGAAGAATCGGAGCATTTCTTTAAAAATGTAAGAGCTTAACTTTCGCCCTCCAAAGAGCAGGAATACAGCAAGATTGCGAATGGCAGTCTTCATAGTGTCTCAGATTGTTTATCTTTGTTTTCAGAGCAGCTGTGCTGTGTGTTCCTAGATCTGTTTACTGTTTGGATTCAAGCCACCCCAGAGGATTGTTGGCTATGAAAATGCGACATTTGGATGTAATGGGTTTTCATGTAGTCTTGGTAAGAAAAAATACAAGTGAAATATTTAATGACTGATGGACATTTAGCAGCTACCAAGAACAGTAGGGTTGAAGTTGGTAGCCAGGCTCTAGGAAAATAGTCAGTGCTGTTGGAATAAGTACTTTAGTTGTTGTCTTCTTTGAGAAAGAGTATTTCTAGTACATACTTTGGCTTTTACTTTGATTGCTGTTATTTACTAGGGAGATTTAAAAATGTTATTCTGGTCAGCTTTAATCCATTTTTGATAAAAATGTAAATTTTATCTTGTTTAATTCAAGACGTATGAAGCCATTTTCAATTTTCAGATTATCTGAAAGGGTTAGAAGATGTCGAAGCTTGTTTTCATGGGCAGGGTGAGGCTGCTGTAGGATGCTGGTCGCCTAGAAGCCCGGACAGCAGGGCTCTTCCTTCCTCTCATGCTCACTGGGCCCCAGCACCACAGCTGTTCTTGAGTAGCCTCTCTAGATGTCTCTGTCTATAGTAAGAACTCAGAAGTACATTTGTGATAATGCTGGAGTCTGTCTCAGTGCTAAATAGTTGGCCCAGCACACAGTATGAAGTATAAACATTCTCCTCTTCCCTTGTCATACCTTAGTTTCCAGAACTGAATTGTGTGTGGATCACCACGATGAAAACAGCCCCTTTCTCTTACTGCTGTAATTATTTGAGATTAGGTTTTTCATACTAGTGATATTATATGTTCTAGGGAAGATTTTCCCAAGAAAGTAACTTTTGCACCACTTAGAGGGCCTTTAAGGTTTTTATAAGCCTCAATGTGACAGCTTTCCTCAATCTTATCAAATAGTCTCATTACACTTTTAAAATATGAGTAATTATAAGCTAGTAGTTTGCTTTTAGAAAACAGTTCAGTTGATGCTACTTTGTATGTTTGGATCTCTAGACTAGCTTTTATTTTATGTATGTGTCTTCTCACAAACTGTTTTCCTCTTTCTCTGGTAAGGTCAAAAACTGGGAGATGGAAAAACTAGAGATGGAAGATGCAGTCACATTTTTGAAGACTAAGATCTATTCCGCTGAAGACTATTCTGCTACTGATATAAATTTGCAAAGCCCGTATTAAAGTAAAAAATCAACCTTTCATATTAGAATACATAGATTTATAAGAATAAAGACTGTTGTTCAATTATCAGTGGAATAAGCCTGGCTCTTTACTGTATCAGAAAACATTATTTCAGTTCACTGTTAATTTTAAGAATGGAAGAAACATTGTTACTGACATTTTAGAATTTGCTGACAAAATTTCCAGATGGGTCATTTTTCTGACCACACACCTCATTCCTTCTGCTGCCCACATATTTGACAAATCATTAGCCATAGGTTTCACTTTTGCTTATTAGCTTTGATGTATTAAAAACTGTTTTGTTTTATTTTGTTTTTTTAGTTGAATTGTGATAGGTCACAGGCAAAGTGATATGGACCTCTTGGGAATATGCCTATTTATCTCTCTGCTGTAAGCTGTTCTAAGACTTAGGATTGTGCATTCAAGCACTGGTCAGGTAGTAGTTGGGCCCTGTTCTCTTAGAGAGTGTGCAAGAAGCAGTGAGATAGCTTTTTAAAGGATAGATGAGGACAGCACTTACCTTTGTAATAAGCAGAGTAGGTGAGGTGTTTCATGGGCCATAATAAGAGAAACAAATGAGATAATAAATGGATGGCAAAGAGTCCATCCTTATGTAAACGATGAACTATAAGTTGCTAATACTGTAATTCTTACCATTTTGATTTTATTCCTACGCTTCCCACCACTTCATGAGATCTTCTAAATTAAATACGTTACTGTACTTTGTTAGAGATTAGACGTGACAACTATTTTTCAATTGTATTTGTTTATTCTTTTGTTTAATTACTTGTTCAGGTTCAAATATTTTGTTCATTATACGTACCCACCTGATGTCTGACTCTTTGGGGAAACAGCAATGAATAGGCATGGTTACTTGTGGAACCTACATGGGTTCCATGCAAATTGGTATTATTTTACCCCAGGTACCCAGGACATGCAAATACTGCACCTCTTATTGTGTGTGTGCCAGGAACTGCTAAAGTGTTCATATGCATTTTCTCTTCATTGTCTTACAAACTTTGAAGTGCAGCTGCTCTTAACATTTATCTCTGGGCCTTCACTCCATCATGTCTACTATGAAGATACACTGTTTGGTAAAGTTACATGGCCTTTTGCTGAACCCTATACAGCTAGTTTGAATGTGAGCTAATATGGACTTATGAGGAACGTAGTCGAGGTTTCCCTAGGTTGGCAGTAAAAACACAGCAGTTTGACAACAGCCTTCGGCTTTTATCAACTAAACCCAGCCTACTTAGAAAAGGTAAGAGCTGAAAGGAAATAATAGTGATTATTCAATGCCCCTCCCTCATTTTATGGATGAGAAAGGTAAGGCTCCAGGAATTTCATTTTTCTGAAGTCTAGGTTATAAATTGATTTACATCTGTGTCCAAAGAGATTAGGATTCTAGTTCCAGATTGAACATCTGAGTTTGTGTGCTTATCAAGTGCTTTAACCTTTATAGGCTTTTAAAAATATTCTATTATTTATGAAACTAAGATTCATTCTTTAAATGTTAAATGCGGATCAGTTTCTTCTTATGGCTAATCATAACTCACAGTCAAAAGATTGGCTGTTTATGCATATGTATAACTGCCATTTGGGTAGTAATTCACTGAAGTTTGAACTGTGTGACATGGCATATAAGATGTTCCTCTTGTACTAGCATTACTAATACGAGCATCTTTCATTGCTTTGTGGCAATGAAAGAAACATAGGCAAACTGCTGATCAACCTGAAATTTCAGTCTACTGGTGAAGACATGCATATTCAAACAACATATTTTTGCCTTTGAGGTTAGCAGTGTTTTATTTTCCTCCCAAGAATTACAGTGCTGATGAAGGTGTAATAAGGCAAGCACTTGTATGTGCTGCTGCTGGTGGAATGTAAATTAATTCAAACTTTCTGGAACATACATTTTCTCCCATATTTTAAAAAATGGTTGTTTTTGAAGTGTAATTGGTATACAGTAAACTACATACAGTATATTTAAGGTGCATAATTTGGTAAATTTTGATATACAGGTACATCCATACTTCAAAAATCATCACCACAATCAGAACACTGAACAGATCCATCACCTCTAAAAGGATTTGTTCCCCTCTGACCCTGGAAAGTACAAATCTGGTGCACAGTGAGAATGATGTGTTTCCATATCACGAGCTGTAGTGTTTGTAAAGTACTTGGGGGTTGGTAGCAAAAAGTATTTTCTTTGTATGACATAATAAAAAATCAGTAAAACTTAGTGCAGCAAATTCTGTATATTAAGTATCGCCTTTGGGTGAAATTTCCAAGTATTTTTCAGAATCCTTAATGAATGGCTTGATCTTACTTTCTAGACATCATGATTAAATACCAAGTTGGATGCTTGAAATGGTTGTGAGTAATTCTTGATCAAGACACTTTAAGAAGTTCTTTAGATAGATTCTTTAGTTACTATTGACAGGAACTTTTGTTTACAAAAGTAGCCCATGAAACAAGTTAAAACTAAGAAACCATTCAAAAATTGAAAATTATTGCTTATTCTTTTTCAGTCATTGACAGAATGTGGTGTTGGTGTTTTTTGTATGTGATGATATAAATGGATCTCAGATGCAATTGAATTTTTTAATATCAAGTATTTCCAAAGAGCGATGACACTGATAGAATAAAGCTAGAAGAAGCTGGCATTCCTCAAACCCAATTCGGCTTTACTGATCTTCCTGAACAGCTGGAGGGTCCTCTGTCCATGTGGCCCAGCCGCTCAGATAGATGTCCAGGTGACTGGACAACCCCTTGGCTTCACATAAACTTCATAGCAGAGTGAGGGCTAATGGCTCTCTTGCTTATTATCCATGGGGCCTGACAGATGCATCAGCAGAGCCTGCCCTGAGCGAGCAGGTTACTGGCCAAGAGGGCTTTGGTTGTGTAGCCCTTTGGGGCCACCTGCAAGCTGAAGAGTCAGGTATCGCTTGATACACCTGTGATCCATTTGTGCACATGTGTATGCTCTGGCTCAACAGTGGGCCCAGAAAAAGCTGAAGTGTACATTTTCCAGGCCCTTCCAGCTTGAATTCCAAATGAGACTTTGCTGCCCCCATGTAGGTATACCTGCAGGAAGTCAGGTGGGTCAAATGAGATAGAGATCCTGCTTCCGTTTCCACCAACAGTCAGGGAGCTCTTGCCTTGTCTGCAATCACAGTAGCAAGTCTGGGGTAGTGTGGCAAGGGATGGGCCATCCGTTTTGCTGGTTATGGATTGTGGCTAAGAATGTGATTCTGGAACCTGCACCTTTGTGATATTCCTGCTTCTGGACTATAAACAGCAGCTTTTCCAAACAGCCAGTTCTGTGACGGTGTTCTGAGAGTCATCACAGGGTGTCAGACATAGGCTATTTCTTTAGCCCTTCCAGTCAGCGTGTTAGCAGAGGAGGCTTCTGAATGCCGGAAGTTAGCCTCCATGCACATTGTGTCTACACGAGAGTGGCTCCAGTTACTGGGTTCCGATGGATAAAGGTGCTTTGGGAATATGCGGATACATGTTGTCAATTTTAAAAATAGAGTGCATTTCTCTATAAAGTTTTGTGAATTTTGTTGAGGATTAGAGACACATGTTAAGACCCAGTGAATACCTCGCACGCGGCTCACCGGTTTACATCCTAGGCTTCTTCAGGCTGCAGTCGAGCTTTCACAGCAGCTGGGTGGGAAAGCTCCCTGCTCTGCATTGCGCTCAGTTGTCAACTTCCTTCCCCTTTCTTTCACTGCAGCTTGCCAGTTTCCTCAGGAGATCTTGTTAGGCCAGGACCCGCAACATCCTGAAGAGGGAGCAGGAGAATGCCAACCCTGTACCCACTGGATTTAGGAATTCCATTCTTCTTTTTGCTAGGAGAAAAATGCAGACTAGGACAAAGGTAGAGAATTTGCTAATCATATAAGGCATACCTTGTTATAATTTTTAAGTATGTTAGACAAACAGCCAGTGCTATCATGTTTGGAAACAGGTGCTTGCATATTGCTTATACTTGTCAGAAAACTCTTTTTAAATGGCAGACTGGAAAAATACTTAGTCTTAAAGTTAATTAAAGGGGTAATTCATTTTGATATAGGGGAGAAAAACTCCCAACCTGAATGATATCTGGGACGAGTTTGTGTTCTCTAAGAATGGATTTTAGGAACAATGGAGGTTAAGAGCAGAATATATTTATTGAGGGAAAGAAAGCTTCTGTCAGAGAGACAGAAGGGGGTTAAGTGGGTTACCAAAGACTGTCTTTTCCAGGGACTTTTATAGAACAAAAAACCATGAGGTGAGGTGGGACCAAGGTAGGGGAAAAGTGGGAAATCACAAGGTAGACATGAGGTAGGACAAAGCTATGGTCAGCCAACAAGAATTGTTCAGGTAAAACTGATTAAATTCAGATCAAATGGGGAAGCGAGTCACACAGCAAGCGGGCATGAATACAGAACAGGGGCTTTTTCTGTAGGGGGTTGGGTCAGTGATGCTTCAAGGTGGTTGCTGCCTATGTAGAATATCAATCCCTGATGTCATCCCTAGGGAGGTGTGTGGGCGTGTTTGTTTGATCTTTTGTCTTGAGATCTGGCGTACAGCGAGTACCACCTCTCCATTTGCAAGAAGGGATCTTATGGATTAATGATATCCCTTAGTTATTGTGGGCTGATCAGGTCTGCAATCTCCTGATTGGGCAAAGCTTAAATAAAAAGAGGCAAATAGAATGATTTCAGGGCTCCAGGAGGATCAAAGCCCTCTCACATAACTCAAGATTCTCTCAGGGCTAAGACCACAACCTTCTTTGGGTCGCCCATATTTATTTGGTTATCAGAAGAAGGAGAGGAGTACTCAAGAAGGGCAGAATCACTCAAGGACTTCTCTAAGTAAGGCATGAAGTTAATCCACTTAAGAACGAGATGCCTGAGGCTATAGTCTTCATCGAGTTGAGATCTGACCTAGGTGTCCTTGGCTGTGATCTTCTCTTGTCCTTTGAGGCTTTCTGGCTCCATCCACCACTACAGGTTCTAGTAGGGATGGGTGACTCACAGAGGCTCACTTACTATGAGTCCACCATTTCCAGATAAGGAGCCTAGGCC